GATCAAGTGTTCCCGGAGGAAATCAAGTCACTCCCGTCCATCACGGCCGAGTTCGAAAAGGGCATGAAGATGATTGAGCGCGCTCTGGATCTGGGTGATGGCGCAAAGACGGAGCTCAAGGCTCCGGAACGAGGTCCCGCTTTGCCTTCATCCAAGTACTCATCGTCGTCCCGGCACGAGCGTGAACATGGTCATCGTGAGAAGCACCGCGAACGGGAAGCCCGACCGCAGCCAGCGGAGGCAGAGAAGAAACAGCCGGAGGAAATCACGTTCAGACATGCGCTGGAGGATTGGTGCCAGGAGAACGACTTGCAGTTTATCCCGGAGCGCAAGAAGATGCATGCCGAAGGACCTTATTACCGGATCACAGCCAGGGGCGATGGCAAGGGTGGTGTGCTGGTTCGGTTCAAGGGCGATGTGCTGTTTGTGGAGGTCAAGGGGCAGGATGTGCTCAAGATCCACAGGGAGCCGCAGAGTGGATGGGAGGCGCTGTTGGAGTTGGTTTTGTAATGGTAGACTAGGGGTAGGGGCATGGTGTTGTAGATTGATGAAGTTAGTTGATATCCAATATGCGCATTTTGAGAGCAGTCGGTTCCATGCTCATCGATGTTTTTGTTTGACTTTTTCTCTTTTCTTTTTTTTTTTTTTTTTTTTTTTTTTTTTTTTTTTTTTTTTTTTTTTTTTTTTTTTTTGCCGTTGGAATTTCGGAAGCTTGCAGTGTGGGAAGTGGAAGTTGGCCGGCCATTCGTTTGTATTCCTATCATTATCGCCTTTTCGTCGGGCCGTTGGCGGCAGGCGGCATGCAACACCAATACAATTTCGACAGCCACGTCTGTGTAAGACTTTCTCTATCTGTAACTGCTGCCCCAGGAAGATCAATCACACCTACTTTTCACATCGATTGTTTAGTTCGCTCAAGCCGCATACAACAATTCCCCCCCCCAGACTTGTTTGTTTGCTGACGAAATCTGCTCCATCCCTTAATCTCACAATGCCTATTCTTCAACCACTCTCGTCCGTCTTGTCTTTATCAACGCTGTCAACAAGGATCGGGAAGTTTTGAGCGAATATAATGTCAACATTTTGACTTTTCATGTGTTTTTCTTTTCTCAGTTCCTGATTCCTTGGCTTCGTCGTCTTCGCATGTCACGGCAGATGGCTGCAGAACGCCAAGACACTATTCCCGTGCCCAGCAACGCCCAGCGTCCAACGAAGCTCACCGGGCGGGCCAGGACCGATGGAGCCCACAAAGACAAGTCCATGCAGGGGCGGGCAGTGCCCACCACGGGGATCCGGGGTTCACGACACCGCCCACTTTGGAGCCTCTCTGCCGTCACAGGCTTGACAGGGACACCCGATTTATCCGCCGATACGATGACTTCATTATCCAAGATAGGTTTCCCAGAATGAGTGATAGTCAAATTTTTTTTGGTTTTTTTTTTTTTTGTTTTTTTTTTTTTGGGGGGGGGAACCACTCTCGATAAGTGATGGTGGTTCTCACGATACGGGCAGACTAAAAAAGTTGCGAGATGACTTTTTACTTTCGGCTCCAATAATGATTGCCGGTACCTACCTACCTCTACCTACCCAGCCTCCTCCCAACTACATACCAACAAGCGCCGCCGCCGCCTCGCTCGCTGCATTGTCTTGTCCCAACGACAATCAATCCCAAAACAAGTAATAATTGCCAGGTATGTACCTAGGTGAAAGCCAAGTCGGTTCCATAAAACCAAGAACCAAGGCGCGCGTAGAGGTGCTGCCAGGCTGCTGCCGTGCCTGCCTTTGGCCCCCCATGTTTGCTTTCAATCTTTATGGTAGCCTGCGGCGGCGGGAAGAATCGCCCATTGCCAATTGGCCGTCCGTTTCACTTTTAAAATGGCGGTTTTTGGGGGGGTTGTTTCCGGGCTTTTCGGGCTGTGTGATTTGAAGGATTGATTTCCTTGGGTTTATTGGAACGCTGTACACATCCACACATCTCGTATGCAACATCCCAGCACATCGCTACATACATGCCTACGGGGAATCATGGGTAGCGAATGCTATTCCTGGCTTCGCTACAGTGGGGATGGTGGACGCTAGACTCCATAGGAGGTAGGCTGGTAGGGTAGGGCTGATGCTGGCTGGCCGCCTGGACGGCGGCGTGGTTGGCGACTTGGCGTACATAAGTTGGTGGTGGCAGGGGCGTGGATCCTGTTAAAAGCTCGCTGTGTCCCGCCTGTTTTTTTCATGAAAGCCAGGAGAGAGAGTGACGGTGAACGGTTCATCCTTTTTGGGGGGTGTTGTTTTTCCCGTCTCAAGTCTTTCTCATTCCCCTTAGGTATCAACAACGCCAAAAAAAAAAAAAAAAGAAAAAGATGGTCGGGCTCAAAAACGTCGCCCTCTTCGCGGCGTCGATTATCCTCCCCGCATCAATTACATGGGCCGCTCCCATCATCGAAGTCGAGACGAAGCCGATTCCCGAAAAGTACATTGTGCTGCTCAAACCACATGCCGATCTCGAAGGTCACCTCAGCTGGGCAAAGGATGTGCACGCCAGGAGTCTGTCGCGCCGAGACACGGCCGGTGTGCACAAGGCGTGGAGTGTAGGAAGCAAGTTCAAGGCGTATGCGGGCGAATTCGATGAGGAGACTTTGAACATCATTCAGCGGGATGAGAGGAATGTATGTCTCACTGAGCGCGCATCAAACAAACCCCTGAATACCTCTCTACACTACGGTACTCAGTCTCACCCAACCCTAACAACCAAACCACAGGTCCATTCTATCGAACCCGACAAAAGCTGGCGCCTTTACAAGAGCAACAAAAAAGACAACGACGACTCCAACTCTGACAACACCACCATCATCACCCAAAAGCAAGCGCCTTGGGGTCTTGGCTACCTCTCCCACAAGGGCAAGACCTCGTCCGATTATGTGTACAACTCCACCGCCGGCACTGGCACCTACGCCTACGTCGTCGACACGGGATGCTGGAAAGACCACGTCGATTTCGAGGGCCGCGTGCAGCTCGGCTACAACGCCTACCCCGACTCGCCCTTCATAGACATGGATGGCCACGGCACGCACGTGACAGGTACTCTGATTTCAAAGACGTACGGAGTGGCCAAGAATGCGACGGTGATATGCGTCAAGGTGTTTCACGGCGGAGGTGTAGGTTTTTTTTTTTTTTTTTCTTTTTTTTTTTTTTTTTTTTTTTTTTCTCTTAATCTGTCCAACCCACAGACAACTAACACAAGCCATCAATCACCATAGTCCGCCAACACCATCGTAATGGACGGCTTCGAGTGGGCCGTCAAAGACATTATCGCCAAAAAGCGCCAACGCAACTCCGTCATCAACATGTCGCTGGGGTGCGACCGGTCCGAAGCCTTCAACGCCATCGTCGACGCCGCCTACGACCAAGGCATCCTCACGGTCGTAGCAGCCGGCAACGAGAACCAGCCCGCCGCGCTGGTCTCCCCTGCTTCTTCGGCCCGTGCCTTCAGCGTGGGCGCCATCGACAACAAGAACACGCGTGCGTATTTTTCCAACTATGGTGCCATTGTGGATATCTTTGCACCGGGCGTAAATATCGTGTCGACTTATATCGGCAAGAAGGATGGGGATAATAATCGGACCATGACCATGAGCGGGACTAGCATGGCGAGTCCCCATGTTGCGGGCTTGGCACTGTATTTGAAGAGTCTGGATCCGGAGAAGTATGGGAATAGCTCGGATGCGCACAGTGGGTTGAGGGCGTTGGGGGTTCCGGATAAGGTGTGGGATGCGGGCGAGATGAGTCCGAATTTGGTGGCCTATAATGGGGTCCAGGGGTAAGAGGGAAGGTGTCAATGAGGAGCCATGAGAGAGCGATGAGGATGCGATTGGAGATGATGATGGCTGTGGGAAGTACGGTAGTTTTGCGTTGCATAGCATCGGCGTTTGGGGCTTGGATTTTGTCTTGAAAAGAGGCCTCTGTTCTATGTTATCGAGTTTTGATGAGGTTACATCCTTTTTCTGGATAAGCATTGGGGATACAGTCCGATGCTGGTTGATCTGTGAGCTTGGTACACTAGGCACTCGTAGTACTTAATATACATCGTACACTAAATGAAATCTATTTCGAAGAGTCCCAAAGCCTACACGGACAAATTAAAAGGCATTAGCTGGATTGGATACAATATTTTGAATGTTAGAGATGGCGTATCCAAGGTCAAATTAGACATTAGTTAGCCATAAAAAGGTATAGGAAAGTTGACACGAGGTCTCGAACTAACAAACAAAGCAGTACTGGGCTGTACTATATCACTTTCACGTCTTGAACTATCGTGTCATCTCTCATGGTGAAACTGGTTTGTCATCCATGAGTAGCATCTCATCCAATGAGACTCAAAAGACACCTCGAAAACTGACTCCATGGGCTTTGGTGACTGACCACAGTTCTCCCATTTACAACCATGGCTGTTAGTACCAAACGCATTCATCTGTCAGACCGGCTTAAATGCTTGATACCTGCTCGTCAACATCTGACAAGGCATATGCAATTTGCCCTTCTTCGCAACGCATGCCACTCACTGTATGCGACCAAGGCAGATCAAACAGTGACGCGCTCAAAACTTGATGATGAAACGCAATCAAGGCATGAAACTAAAATTGATATATGTTTGAATGAAAGCCTCCGGCCTTCTCATAACTTATCCCAAACCAGACCCAGGCCCATACCGTGTGCGTGTCCTGTATATTACGCCCGCCTGCTCATTTCCCGAACTGTAGTAGCAAGAGTTCCTGCGTGTGAATACGTACATATCTCCCGTTCGATGGTTAAATAGCCGCGCTGCCTCAGCTTCTGCAGCTCGCACCCTGCATCCTGGCCTGCCCGCTCCTGAGCTGCCAGGCTGTCTGCCCTTTCCGCAGCGTGTGTGCGCCCGTTCCTGCGAGTCCGATATCGTTCGCTGATTTGGCACGTAGTTTGTCACCCTTGAGGTGACTAAAGTGAAACCCGCCCCGTGATGTGTATCGCTTTCACGGCCTCAGCTCGCTTATTTCATGATCTGGGCAAACTCGGCATCTGCATGTGATCGAGTTAGCATATCTGCGCATCGATGGCTCCTGTCGCCCGTGCCTGCGTGGCTGCTCCTCCTCCTTGTGCTTCAACGGTCCAACGGGCCAACGCACCTGGCCCTCCTCCGCAGCGCCCAACCCCAAATGAACAACAGGTCAACCTCGTAGTAAAGAAAACAAGACTCACAATCAATCTGCCCGTCCCCATTCTTATCCGCCAACTTGATCATCTCATCCACGTCCGCATCCGTCATGTCCTCGCCCAGACTTTTGAGGACAGCCCTAAGCTCCCCGGTCGAAATGGTGCCCGAATTGTCCTTGTCAAACACCTTGAAGGCCTCCAGCAGCTCCTTTTCGGAATCGGTTTCTTTGACGGACTGCGACATGAGATTGAGAAACTCCTCAAAGTTGATGACGCCGTCCTTGTTGGTGTCGGCCTCGTTGACCAGGTCCTCGAGCTCGGCCTTGGAGGGGTTCAGACCGAGCTCGCGCATGACGACGCCCAGCTCTTCGGCGGTGATGTCGCCCGTGTGGTCCTTGTCGAAGATGTCGAACACTTCGCGGAATTGAGCAATGTGCTCGGGGGTGAGTGTGGGGTATTTGGGCGTCTGAGCGCGGGTTGGTCAGTAGGGCTTTGGGAATACCATGGTTCGTTGTTGTTGCGAAGGCTGAGTTGGGTTTGTTGGTGTTGCTTGGTAATTCCTTCGTTGTGTCGTCGTGAACTGCACTCACCATATTTGCGGTTGCTTGCTGCTGCTGCTGCTGTGTGTGAAGGTGTTTAGTGGGCTAAGTATATGGCTGGTCGGTGTCCGGTATTCGCGATGCTATGATTCTAGGTAGTGAAATATCAAGCAATATAGGAAGCAGGGAGCGTATGATGAATGAGAAGCGCACAAGTACGAATTGATATTTGGATGAAGGAGGAGGAATCAAGTTGAGAGAGATCACCGGTGAAAGTGATGGGAGGTGGGATGTGGATGCTGATCAGGGCCCAAGCTGAAACCAGATTCAGGCTCCAGCGGGCTGGTACTAGTACAGTACACAGTACATATGGGCTGAATGGCGGGGTACCATCCTGCCGCGCGGCCGGCAATCAAGTCCTACCTAGACATACGCCCCCAACTGCCCTGCCCGTAGCTGCCTGTGCCTGCCGCAAGTTGCAGGTTGCACAGCCGCTTTCCCCCCTCCCGTCCCCTCATGATCGAACAACTCTCTGCGAGACTGGTGTTGGAGAAGATGGCAAGCGCCGCCTCGCGTCTTACAATTTACAAGTGGAAGTTCCTTCATAATCCGCCGGACATCATCACCATCGACATGCTAGGGTTTCAGTGCTTTCTCGGTCGCACTGAGCCCTAACCCGCTAGGTACCTAGCCAAGTCGGGCCCAACCGCCCATTGCCTCAACAAGTGTCGCCATTGCTAGTAGCAGACGGGATGGTCTCACGTCTCACTCTCGCATGGTGTAAGACAGACTCCACTTTTGACGACAACCGTTGGAATCATCAGTCTTGAACAAGACACTCCCGAGTCCCGACCAACAAGCCTATTAGGACCTGTTGCTTGCCCTATTCTCTCTTTTCTTGCTTTACCTTTCCCAGTGCTGGTTTTTGAAAGTTGCGACAGTCATGTTGTCTTCTGTTCCTTTCGATCCCTACGGGTGCATTTTGTGATTGGTTCCAATTTGGCCTTGGACGGATCAAGGCATGGACAATGATATAATTGGATGAGTCGTGGGCCTCCTGCAGCAGCTCACCAAGATATACATCTTCTTGAAATTCTTACTGTTTGTACTAAATTCAGCGTTGCTCCAAATAAGTTTCCAACCTAAAGATGAACACGATAGCCACCATGAGGCCAGCCCCTTGATCCCAGCTCTCGTCGCTACGTCGATAATGATCCGAGTCTTGCCATTACCCACCTAACCACGACAGTTCCTTGCAAACGGTCGCAATCATGGCACCACAAATGTCAACGAAACTTATCTCCTGCCACAATAAGTCAGGAACGACGCCAGCGCCACCCATGCCTGCAAGCCATCCACGCAAGCAGCAACACCACCACCAACACCACCACGACGTCCAGTCCCATCTCGCCGCCATGTCTTTATCCATGTCATGGAGCTCCCATGTCCAAGCGGACTTATCCAGCCAATTTCCAACCCGCACCTCGTCATGTTCCGACTCCTACACCCCCTTGACATCATGCCCCGCCAGCCTCTCCGGCCTACCTACACTCGCGAAACTAGAGCCATCGCAAACATCACCACCAAAGTCAAGCCTGGATTCCGAGGTATCGTCATCATCATCACCATCCGCAAAGCCAGCTTCCCAGGAAGCGCAAACAAATCAAGGCCCGCCCTGCAACAACTGCCATCAACCCTCGACGCTCTGTACCGTTGGTCCACTGAATCCCAAGGGGAACGCAGGGCGGAAATACTTTGCTTGTAAGCGGTGTCCGTATGGGTTGGCCTGGGTTGGGTGGGCTGGTGTTGAACCCTTTGATGGGCTTGTTGTTGTCGCTGCGAAGGATGAGGGTGTTGATCCCACTAAGGGTGATCGTGGTGATGGTGTTGATTCTGTTCCCAGTGATGCTGGTTTTGCTCGCGGCGGTAGTAATGCTGATGGGAGGTATGGCAGTGGTAGCAAAGAACCGGAAGCAAGTGGAGAAGGTTCACCCGTTGCCACCCTTGAAAGAGGGAAGAAATGGTGGATCTCAAGTCCTCCTGGGAGTCTCAGTGAAGAAGAAGCCGATGACAGTCCCAGGTGCTGCTGTGGTGAAGCCATGAAGCTGGATTACGTCGACGTTAGCTGGGATGGTGCTTTATATTCCCTTGGCGAGAAAACGACGACGAAGAAGTGGTTCTGGACTTGTACGTACGGGGCTTGCAGTGAGTTCATGTGGGTCGGGGATACAGGCGGAGACGGCTTGGCACATCATGGTGGATGCAGGAGCGAGAAGCCGATGGGAGCATCGGTCAGGATATTGTGGTGACAGCGGTGCATCTGCCCGGTTGACGTTGGATTTGTTTTTGTATTGCAAGGAGTGAGGTTTTACATATATAGGGGAGGGGTATCTTCTGGTTCAGAAGCCGATGTTGTGTCCTGCCCTGCAAGGGAAGTGGTGACATTCTCTGTCGGCGGGTTTCCTTTCTCAACGTCCTTGTCTGGACGAGGCCGAAGTCTCTTCAAGAGGTTGATTGGGTTTCTGGATGTTGGGGCCTCTCTAGTAGCGTTGTTCTGTTCTGCGTCCAGCTCGGCGAGAGGTTGTTCCGTACTGCGGAAGCTCTTAAAGCTGCGGTATATGGTCACGAGCCAGTACCCAACGACAAGCCATTCACTCGGCTTCGCGTCCTCCCTGCTCGGTTGAACTCTTGACAACTCCCGGCCCAGGAAGCTCCATCGAGTGCCCCTCTCTTCCATCATCTTCCTTACTAAACGCTGCCTAGGTGCTTCAGCTAACAGTGACAGACCGCATCGAATGGAATAGACTGTTGTTTCGAGGTTCGCAACCACCAGGTAGGTTGCTAACCCGATGCATATGGTGACAGCGACAAGATGGTTTGCGTTATAGTTCTCGTTGATACTCCACATCGACATGCAAAAGCCCAGCGGTAGGTAGAAGATGCTGACAAAGGTCAATAGCTTGACATTTTGGCTCAGTCTCGTCGCTTCCCGAGTCTCAATGACACTGCTTGCGTTGAAGAGCTAAGTCTCAGGTCAGTGAATGCCGCGTTGGATAAAGGTATATGGATGGACTTTGATGACTGGAATATCCAGAGGTCAGACATGTGATGGTTGCGAGGAGATTGTATTGTTCAATGCGCGAGCACTGTCACCTAGGGAAGTTATCCACTTACCCCATCTCTATACTCGATGATCTTCTGCCTTCTGGATTCGAAGCCTTGTCGAGTGTTCCTTAGACTTTGGATCCGTGAAAGAATGGAAGCACGAAGTTGATCAACACTCTTGTGAACAACGCCTCGTACGTTTTTACAGCCCTTGACTTTGGCCTGCTCGTTCACAGTCACTAGATGTTTCTCGGTTCTGCGAAAGTTGTCTTCGTTCTCTCCCCAAAAAGTCTCCCATCGCTCAATCGTAAAGTCGATATCCTGGATAAATCTTCCAAGGCTATTGATGGCCCAGAAGTATAACCTTGATTGCGTAAAGTGCCTATCGTCAAATAGAAGGCTGTCGTGTTTTCCCGGGTCGAATATGAGCTCACGCTTCGCGTCAAGCTGGTCGAAATAAGGATCGAGTCCCGCCCAGTCTGTGGCAGCTTGTTTCAAAGCACGGTCTATGAAATCCAAGACCCCAGTCCGTAGACAGACCGACGAATTCCAGAAGGATTCCCCCTTTTCCCCGGGCAGAGTATAGAAATGAGGCGGAGGCAGAACGAGCATGGTCCAATATGGGCCACAGTCCCCAGTGCTAGGCGCATCGTAATTGGAGCAGTATATTGTGACACTGAATGATTGGCGGCTGAGAAAGGACCCTTCCTCCACATACAGAGGGCCATGTCCCCAAGATGATTTGTAAGGTTTGGGAGACGCGCGATACCACGAGATGTGAAACGTGTCCCATTGCCCTTTTGTCCTGATTGCAGCACCCCAAAGAGGGTCCGCTTTCAAATGTTGTGAGACAGCTATCAGCAGATGGTCAACCAATGTCAAGCCTGATTCTGTGGAATCAATTCTCAATGCAGGGCTGAGTCTGGAAGTGAGGAAAGTCTGGACGAATGTGCGAGCCACGTCAGCCCCGCCAATGCACTCAAGTCCATTGACGTCGATTATGCGGTACCAGGGCCTGAAAGTATGGGGTCAAGTTAGTATGTAGTGGACTTGTTGTGCTCTCGATCTTGTTTCTCCTATCCTACTTTTCTTCGGAATCGTGGTTGTCATTGGTGGCGAGGACGTACCTAGTTGTTTGAGGCTCATCAAATCCCAAATAACCCTGGCTCGAGAGATGCGCTCTCACACGAAGGTATTTTTGAGAACGTGCAGCCCAATCAGTGGCTTGCCAATGTTCACGGCTTGCCCGTAACCTGTAATGCTCACGGTATATCTTCACGGGTATCAATTTGAAGTACCTTTCATCGCCCTGGTGCCTGTTTATGAGCAACCGATACTGAACGACAGCGGGACGCCGAGCAACCCATGCTTTTCTGTCAATCCAGCCTAGGTCAGACGGGTAATAGCAAAAGTGGTTGCCGAGAGTATCATAGTCCCAAATTATGAAAGTGCCAGAGGCTTGGCGTAAGTCTTTCAGGAACTGAGTGGCCTTGATAAGGTATTCATCCAGCTCTCCAGTTACTTTCATGCGCCGGAGCGACAGCGGCTCAAAGCACAGGGGAAGTCTCGCGTCTGCGGGTACGGAATACAGGTTGTTCAGTGCTTCTACTATAGTCTCAGCATGACTCCCGAGCCCCGTCGTTTCTGCGGTAAGTTCCATTTCACGGCTCTTATATGATCGTCGTGTCCTGCTATGAGAATAGGGCACATAGAGATTCCCACTCAGGTGCATTTCCTCTGGCGGGCATGGCGGAGGTCGCGGTGTTGTCAACTTGTGGTCATCAATATGATACCACTCTTTGTCCTTGTGGTCCTCAAAGTGATACCACTCTTTGTCATGGTGAGTCTCTCTATCCTTTCCAGTTAGTTCCCACGTTAATGTAAAGTTAGGTGGCGCGTCGGCGTAGAGAGCGCGTGACTTGTTCCGGGGCTGTTCTCGTTGACCACCTGGCAAGGCCAATGTTAGACCGGAACTTGATCATTATGTAGGAGTAAGAACCTAGAGGTACTGACTATCCTGATCGGCCTCAACTTTAACGTCCGGAGGTTTTGTTGCTTCATTATTCACACGCTGCTCAGCGTCCGTCCTCTTCCCCACTTCCTTTTGGTTCAGTTCTAGGAGCGCTTGGAGCAGCAACGAGTTTGTTTTCAAGTGCTCGGTTTGTGCAGCTAGGGTCTCCTTGATGTCTTTGAGAGCATTGACGAGCTCCGCGGCGTGTTCCGTCGACATTTCCAGTGTGCGTCTGACCTGACGAGCTCATCGATATGAGCATTGAAAAAGCTCTCATGAAGAAATTTGGTTGATGTCTAGAGGGGGAGGAGGGGTAGTAGCTAAGTCCTCAGTGTTGCAGTGAAAGTGTGTATCCATTGTTACATACATACCCAATTGTTGCCGTTGGGATGCCTAGCATTGGGGCCAATGCAACCACATTCAGCACGACTCTGGCTCGCTGGTCATCGATAAGGCTATTTTCGCAGTTAGTATGCAGCTGGCATGCAGACAAGACCGTCAAAATTCTTGCTCTCGCTACCACACACACTGTGGTGGTACGCCGTTTCTTTTCACAACCACCAAGTCTAGGAAGTCACCATCAAGCGTCCCTCTCCGAATCACGGCGAGAGAAAATGACCAAAAACAGACTGTACGGCTCAACGACCCCTCGATAACAAGTTGATGATCATGAATCCCTTCTAGTCAAAATCCATTATACCCTCAACTTTCCACCTCGAACCAGCCCTACAAAGGCCAACAACCTATACGCCGTCCCAATGCCAAGCATGATCAACATATTAACCCACAACCGATCCAGCTCATATCCCGTTACTTGGGAAGCGATTTTGACATCATACAGATAGTCAAACGGCCTGACCAACTGCCCAAAATACAGCTCACCTAACCACACGCCCGGCCCAGCCCTCCACAACCAGTCAAGATGCCACCTTTTAGCTTCTCTCAAGCTCGGCGCCGCACCACTTAAGATGCCGACAATCAAGCTGAACATCGTCGCCAACAGCGGCGCATCCTCCCGTCTCACCACCATACTCATACAGCTAGCCAATCCGTAGATGCAATACACATATAACAAGTTGGCTAAGAATGCCGTCCAGAACGGAATTACAGGCATGCTTATCAGAAACAATGGAGCAGAGAAGTGCAAGCAAGCCAATGCCATCCTTGGAAGCACACTGATCGTTTTTGCAAGGAAGTATGCTACTCGAGAGTGCCCAGCCTCCGCCTCGCGGCGGTACACGAGCATATCCTCGGAGAAAAGCTTAACGCCTGGCGCGGCACTGGAAAGACCTATGGCTAGGGTGATGAGCAGCGCCATCTGCGGGGCCGCAACATAGTCTGCTGAGAGAGACAGGATTTCGTATGGCTTGTTGTACTGGCCTCGAAAGAAGGCGCCATTTTTTGGCTTTTGAGCGAGTCCGAGCAAGACGCCTGCAAGAGTAGAAAGGCCTATTTCAAACCACAAATTGGAGCGGGTGCGGTACTGCTGGAGAATGGAGCGCAATAGGCATAGCAACGTTTGTCGCCGACGAGGGGCGCCGCGATGCTTCAGAATGCGGGATAGCTGAGGGTTGGAGATGGACAGCATTGAGATACGTGCGCCTGCTTTGAGCTTGCTGATGGACATTAGAGAAGATTGATTGTGGCGGGATGTGTCGGCGTCGCTGCTCTCGCTGCCGGCCAGGGTCGTGTCAGATGGGTTTCGGGAGTGACTAGGTTGCCAGAACCTATCCACGCTTTCATTAGTTAGGAGGCTCACTCTGGAGCCTTTGGCCCATTGGGCAATGAGAGCATCTTTGGATATATCTCCCTCCCGTTTGTACCGCCGACCATTTCCTGTGATGATATCTGTGATAACGTCGCTGCAGTTGGCACCAGGAGGGAACACAAAACCCATCTGTTCGAAGAAGGTCTTCGCTTGACTCTGAGGTCCTTCGTATATTAGCTGTCCATTTCCGAGGAGGATCATATCGTCCAACATCTCAAAGATCTCCACTCGCGGCTGATGGATGATGACAATAACGGTAATACCGAGTTTTCCAAGAGCCTTGAGTGTGCTCATGATGGAGCTCGCTGAAGTAGCATCGAGACCGGAGGTCGGCTCGTCCAGGAAGATGGCCATGGGAGCAGCCGCCAACTCCATGCCAATGCTCACACGCTTGCGCTGACCACCACTGATGACAGGCTTTCCAACGCTGCCGACCAAGCTGTCACGTACGTGGGAGAGTTCCAGACAGTCGACAACAACGTTAACGTGGGTTTCGACATCGGAATCGTTCCAGGTGCGCGGCAACCGAATCTTGGCCGAGTGCATGATGTTCTCGTAGACAGTCAACTCAGGTAAAACAATGTCGTCTTGAGGCACGTACCCAATCAGCTTCTTATACTGCTTGAGCTTTCCCGGGATGCCGTTGACCGTGACGCTGCCTTTGGTATACTGCGTCTTGCCCATGAGAACGTTGATGAAGGTTGACTTGCCAGCACCCGAACCGCCCATTACTGCCGTTAGGCTTCCGCTGTTGATAGATCCAGTGACATTCTGGAGGATTGGCCTCTTGCTGTTCTTGGGTGCAAAGGTCAGTTGGTCGTAGCCAAACGACAGACCAAACTCGGAAGCAGAGGTAGCTTTGCGCATTGAGTCGACGAAGGCTTTGATAGTAGGCGAGATTTCCGGGTCAGGATCGTGACGGACGGTCTTTCCGTGATTAATAGGAGGCGCTTGCTCGTAAAGCTGATCGCCGAGACCCCTAAAGGTGTCTTGACGCTTGACTCGTCTCCGCAGCGCCATATCGTAGTCGACTTCCTCATGGCGTTTCTCCTCAACCTGCTTGTAACCACCAATGACAGCTGCGAAGCGATTTTGTCGGATGGTGCCGGCGGAGGAATTGCGGTGTCTCTTCCGGATACCGAGATGGATCATCCCAAGGATGAGAAACACGTCTATGACGAGGAGCAGGACAATGGGAAGAAGGTAACGTTCAAAGGAGGAGCCTTCTGGGCACCTGCTCCCAACTGCACATGGCGTGGGTGTAGGTGCGCCTGCCTGGCAGTAATGGCCAGATGGACACTTGAGGGTGACCATTCCCTTCTCTTCTCGAGGACAGTACCATCCAGCCTGGCAGATGACGGGCTCAAAAGGGCCCATGCCAATATTGACGCCATTCAGTTTGCAGTCGATGCCCCCTAGTCTGGCAAGCTGACATGCGGTGATGGGAGTACAGTACTGTGGTAACGAGTTGACGGTGTTGTTTGAACCTGTGAGCAGCGTGTTAAGGTTTGCCAGTAGTCGACAAGGGAGAGGTGAGGGAAGGCATCAGGATCAACGTACAAAGGAACCCATCTTTACATCCATGCTCTTGCCAGTTTTCATAGTCCTGTATCTGGATAGGAACCGCCCCGGGTCTCCAGCACGGTGCCGCATCGACCGGTGTCTGGTTGGCCCGAATCTCGGCGGCCGCGCGATAGAGTGTGGTCGAAAAGAGGGTGTTGTTCTCCGCTGTGCAGGCGGTATCCCACACATTTAGACCCGGTGTCCTATCTCCCGTTATCGTAAGTTGTTTCTGGCTGTCATCCCATTCGAACCCTTGTGACGAGTCTGGAGCATACGATGCATCGTAGATGGGGCCGAGAGTGTTGTTGGCTTCGAGCTCGAGAGCATCCACATTCCTGGCCTGGAACCACTTTCCTCCCGTGTCTGTTATGTTGAACTGGTTTCCCACACACTGCCACCATACTGTGTCGCCCTTTACAGGTTCTGGTCGAAGTTGGCAAAGACAGGCCTCTGTGTCGAGAAAGCGTGGACCATCGGCATTGTCCACTGGGACGAAAGGGTCTTGAAGTACTCCGCTGCGAATGCTAGAGTCGACCAGGAAGAAGAGATTGATTTCGTTGGGTGTCGTCACGTCGTCAACCACGTCTTGTGGTGTTTCTTGGTGTATATCGTGAGCCATTACTGGTTCCAGCACCCTGTCCAGAGAGCCTTTCGTCTGGACTTCTGTTGAAACGAGAAAGTGTGCTTTGGCTGTAAACCAGAGGTCCTTCGCACAAGATCATGGCGAGTTTTGTACTTTACGCAGTGGATTGGTGTACCACGACGTAAGGTACCAATGACAAGCACGCAGGCTTTCATTCGTAACTGAATGCTGTTGTGTCTCCATCTTCGGGATCTTGGTGCCGAAGGATTTCCCCCGTCAGCACTAAGGACAACAACGCCTCTATATCCACTATTAGAGTGATGACCTGAGGCTCAGCTCCACATTTTGTTCCCACCGCCTCACGGCTATTCTGAAATCCAGAAATAAATCGAGGGAGGAAAAACAGAGCCCGAGCCTTCCTTTGTGGCGAGATCTCTGACTGAAGGACGTGTCATTGGTGGTAAGCCATATCAGAGGGCTGAGTGTTTTGTGCCGTGGGACGCAGCCATCACCGGGTTCAAGCCAATGGTGGACAGGCGAACTGCTAGGGGGGTGGAGGGAAGTGAGGGTTTCAGGTCTCACCGGCATGCGGTGGCCAGGCACCGAAATACAAGCCATCCTTATAGGCCTTGGTAGTCAGCGCCTCCTTCGGGCCATGATTCCTACCGCTTGGCAGCCGTAGCACCAGCTAATTTCTAGGCTCATAAACCTGCTTGCAATCCGACGTCCAAGTCCAATCTCGTCGGTGGCTTGTCCATGATGATCGGCACCGGGCAAAGGTAGAAGTGACTCGATTCACTACTGTAGGACATGAAATGGTTGGTTGGGTATGGCCATTTGGTATTGGATATGCTCATGTCTTGACAATAGGCAGCAGACTGACTGTGATGGACGGTTGTGGGACGAGAAGGAAGGCTCGTCGAGCACGAAGGAATTGATGGTGTCCCTGTCCTGTCAAGAGTTAGCACCGTGACAGCGGCTCAATCTCGTGGCAGGAAAAAAAGAAAAGAAATCGACCGAACGAGGTTGGCGGACCTGGCAGAATACTATTTATTCACAACGGGCACCATGAACCATCACAAGTCCGCTGTCCGGAATTCGCAAGGCAGTTGAGATGCGGCCATTCTTATGGTGACAGCGGGAGGAGTATCGATTGCTCTCGTCGTGTCGACAGCTCCGACCGATCAAGAGCTGGAGTCCCAACGACGGCGTGTGTGAGGGCCGCAGCACCGGAACTTGAATAACGAGGACATGATGGTCCTGATTGGCATTGAGACGTGGGAAGATGTCATTGTTCACATTAGTCTATCAAGTGTAAGGAGAGAACCAGAATGAACAAGGCCAGGAGGAATTCATGGCACACAAAGGAAGAAGAATGTTTTGGCGGTGGGACGTTGGAATATTGAAGATACCCGACTGTACCTCTGCAGCGCTTGGGTGCAGTACTTGCCAGCCAGAGCGGGTTGATTTTGTGCCCAGCCTGGTAGAGATAGGTGCGGCAGGCAGATGTAGCAAGGGTTTTCGGCTGGGCACCTAGCCAAGTCCCACTAACAGCAGCCAGCAAGCTCGCTGTCCATTTGGAGTACAACGGCAACTGAACGCCGCTTCCAATTCTCTACGGGCAAGCTTCACAAGGCGCCTGCTTTCAATTTGTTTGCTTAAATGTCAACTCATTACCTACATATCATTAAGCGTGGAAGGCCCAATGAGGCGTCTAACTGAGGACTGTTGCGGGGTAGCTCAGTCGAACATGAGTGACCTTTCACTAATCATGCATAGGATTTGGAAGGAACGAGGTATTCCCAGGTCGTTGAATTACTGCAATCTCAATGCTTGTATCGTGTGGTAAAAGTCTCGCTCTGCTTCTCTTATCCTGTCCATACGACCCCGAGATAAGGAGAACACGACAAAGACAAAGAGAGTAGCCGATTGCAAGATCTAAAATAAGCTCAGAGTGTCAAAAAAATAAGGTGAGGTACAAAACGGACGCAAAAAGATGGGATTGCCAGGAATCGAACCTGGGTCCTCTCGGATCGTTGTATGTCGAATTGACCACAACGAGAAGTACTGACCACTATACTACAATCCCTATTGGTTGTTGAAAATCTTTTGTTACTCTTGCCCTATATCTTTTGGCAAGGATGGTGTAACACTCAGAGTAGCTCGCACCATCGACATTATGACAAAGACACTCGACGTTTACATCCCCACTGTCATTGAAAAGAAACGTCAATTCGGTACCGCAAGCTGAAGTAACTTCCTAATCCCGTCAGTCATAAACATCCAGCCCAAGAACTACAAAGTCAACCCTCAAGCAGCCAACAAACCCTCACTCTCCAACCACCCCCTAAGCGCAGCTTTTACGTCCTCCGTCTGCAACCGCAACTTCTCATTCGCACTCTCCTGCTCTGCCAGCTTATTCCCCGCCCCATCTGCCAAGAAATGGACCTGCAAAAACTCCACAAACGCGCTATAATCCCCCTTCTTCAACTTCTCCTCGCCCTGCTGAAAAAGATCCTTTGAGCTGACATGGGTAACCTCCAGCTTCTTGCCCGTCAGCTCCTCGACGAGTTTGACAAGCTGGTTCTGCGAAACGTTGAACGACGCCGTAGCGAGGTACTGGTTCTTGGTGAGGTCGGGGTGGCGCAGGATTTCGGAGACGGTGCGGCCGACGTGAGACCGTAGGGAGGCGGGCCAGAGTTCGTTGCCGGAGTCGACAATGGTAGCGGTGCCGTTTTCGACGTTGACTCCAGCCAGACCCTTGGATAACGCCTACACAAAGTGACGGTTAGCAAAGCGCACCCTCCCACATAGGTACATAGGCAGAGAGAGGGAGTATCATGATGGGAACATACCGAATCAAAAAAGAGCCCCGTCGACAACCCAGTCCAACTAATATCTCCCTCCTTGCCAATAAGGTAATCAACTACCGCCCTCTTCCCCTCCAACAACCCCCCAAGCCTCGTCTTCTCCACCCCTTCCTTGCGCGTGTGAACTCCAAACTCGCTCGGCACGAATCTCTTGACGCCCGCCTCGATAGCCGCATCAATAACCTTCTTTTGCTCTTGCACTGCACCGGTGGCGATGGTCGAGACCACGGCGTCTTGGCCTTGGAAAGCGGAGGCCAGGGAGGAAGGGGAGGAATAGTCGACTTCGAGGAAGCGGACGGGATATGGGTCGAAGGTGGGACGCGGGGAGGAGGAATTGGCGCGGGTGAGAATGGTCACGGTGAAACCGCCGACAAGGAGACCGCGGACTATGTGGGTGCCTATGTTGCCCGTGCCCTATGTTTGGGTAGAAAGGGTACTGTTAGATCGCTAGTCTTATGGGTGCCAGATGGAGGAGGAAAGGAACCTACACCGAGGACAGCGACGGTGTTGATGGTGGAAGACATGATGTACAATCGGTGATTCGAGTTGCTCAATGTGTTTATTCGGTCAGAGGAATCTCGAAACGTAAGGTATCTTGCAAGCTTTTGGTGTTGCTGGATGAAGACGGGACTGGCGAGTGTTCTTTAATGTTGAAGGTGGCAAGATGCACGTTCGACCCTGAACAATGACCACGAGGCCACTCGCCCGATTCTTATACTTTCCCCTCATTCCACGTTTCCATCAACATGCCGCTTTTGTGAACCGCGATCAAAGACATCATTCCCTGACAATCAGGCATTACGCATCATGATGTTGCAAAATTGGCTCGATATGGCATGCATACTCCAAGGGGAGGGTTGTACCCACCGGTCCAGGTACTGCGTTTGGCCAATGAGAGAAAGGCACAGGACCAAGACAGTTCGAGACGCACGCCCATTTAGGACCCCTCATCTTTGCCATCTGCCGACAATGTGTGGCAGCTTATCAATTGCGTCTTCATTGACCGAATTTCGCAACGAGCACGAAAGAGCAAGTGGTATGTGGTGTGAGTTGGCCCGAATCCCGATCGTCGTATTCGTTACTATCAATGTTGGTTCAAGAAGGGATAGCAACTTGTATCAAGCAGATGATGGAGCGGCAACGAAACCGAATGTAACCCTCCCCCCCCGCCGACATGTTACATCTACATCACATCATGTTGCCCAGCGTATCAACGACCACGGTTTCAGTTGGAAGCTGCCAGAATGTTCCAAGCTATCAATCCAATACCGTATCAACCCATGAAAGTGTAATCCCCTTAAAGTGCAAATATCTCCCGGTGTAGAGACATTGGCCAGGATGTGCACTTATAGAGGTCCGATTTTGGTGGGAGGAAACATTTATACCCAGTTATCGGGGCTGAGAAGGCCTACTCTTTTGGTATCGTCGGGCGCTCTTGAGTGGCTAGAAGGTGTTTTGTGGTCTGTGCACCAGATCCCTTAATTGCAAGCACGCACAAAGTGCATCTGAATCTAGCGATCCCGATTGTTTGCACTTCTAGGGGTTGACATTGCACTGGTTTGTTTGGTAGCCCGGGACGTCGGGTCAGATATTCCATGAGTCAAACAAAGTCCTTTCATGCTGTTGTATACCCTTTTCAAAGTTGAATATAACATATCAAATCTCGTTGATGGCCTGCTGAACCGTACCGTAACCATCTACTTTATACAAGTCGGTCATTTAAATAGGAAAGGAAAATAATCCAAGTTAAATCCAGAATACATGATGGTCTATTTGAGGAAAAGAAGGACAAGACATCACGCCTCAAATGGTCTATTCAAATGAAATCTAGTTTTCGCTGTCGATCGCGGACAAACCGCAACAAGCTGTGAAGAACAGTAAATGACTTGTCCAACAAACCGGCACTGGCCATTCCGTCAATATTACCCCGAGTTTCAAGAAGGTGAAAAGGCTCGCTGCAAAATGGCTGCTGCAGTAGACAACATAGGAAACAGCCCCCATCTTCGTTCGTCTTCGAGTACCCTAGTCTAGCCATTGTATTTGGTCTTTGGGGGGGTTTTGTGCCACTCGTATCGGCAGGAGTGGCTTAGAACCAATTCTGATTTCCGCCCGTATCATTACCATAAGGAAAAAAGCCGACACCAGTATACTGCACATCAGGCCCCGTCGTCATGTAGTCATTGACCGTGTAACTTGGTGTAGATCCAACCCCAACCGGATTGGAAACAGGGATATCGATGTCGTCGAGCGACAGCATCGCGTCCAATTCAGATGCCACTGAGAAGAGTGTATACTCTGGAGCAGAAGTATTGGGCAACAGAGGAGCAGCTGACTGCTCATGAATGTATGGACGAAGTGGCATAGATGTTTCGGACCAGGTTGTCGATGGCATGCTGCTCAAATGCCCGGCCTGTGTAGCCGGTGCAGCCGGGAACTCGCGCATTGAGATGGATGGGCTGATGTTCGGCGGAAGCAGACGTCCTTGTAATGTCCATGTGTCGTAGGCCTGTTGCAAAGTATCTTCGATGATCTTGTTGACGTCGTCAATCCGTAGCAGTACTTGTTCTTGTATGTGTTGTCCAGCGTACTCGTAGGCCGCTTGCGTGAAAAGCCGGGGCATTTCCGTCAACAGGTAGTGTTGGAATTCGAGAACGTTGCGAGACTCGGCTCCCATAGGCTGGAAATCCTCTGCGTATTCGGGATCTGTTGACAGGTCGGTCAGTTGTTTGTCTGGACGCTGTAGACAGGAAGTCCTAGGGAAGACTCACAAGGTGACGGTACAATATCGTTGGGGAACAGCAGTCGATAAATCTCTCTCCATTTTTCTTCGTCGCTTTGGCGCCGATATGTATGCTTCCTGGACTTGAGCTGCCTTTCCTGTGATGTAGTAATGTCTCCAGGCGGTTTGACATCGAGGAGTTCGCAAGCTTCTGGGGCCATCTCGTGAATCGTGAGCTGTCTCGCATCGCTGAAAGTTTGCTTGCACCGTTGACAATGGATCTTGTAGTGTCTCCGATAGAGATGCTCCCTATAAAGAGTGTTAGCGACGTACCATGCATGGCGCGAGGGCTAGAGGTCGTGGTTACTTACTTTAGCCTTGGAATGGTCGGCCAGTCCTTGTTGGCGCAAATATCATAATCCACACGGTTGTACTTTTCTGGATTGTGCTTACGGAACGGGCAAGCAAATCTCTTCGATGTTGCGGACCCAGGCCTGGAAGCATAAGGCGAGAGCTGACTACCGTCATCATCATCGTCATCGTCATCGTCGTCGGAGGTCCGCCGTGAACTCGGAGGTCGAAGGCTTCCGTCCGGCTTTCGCCGGGACGGTGTGGCTTTTCTCGCTCGATATGGATCCATTCTGTCGGTGTTGCTGCTCCCTGCACTTCCAACACATGATCTGATTAATGCATCCCAATTGTGGTTATACTGGGACCAGAGTCGTTGTAGCGCCATGTTGATGGCCTGCTGATACGCTTTGCTCCAAGCTCTGCTGTTGTCATCGCCGATGTCGTGTTCTGCCCAGAGGTCTGGATCAGATAGACTGTCATCTGAGACATGTTCACTAGTGCTATCATCGTGGGTCAAGAATCCTTTCCTGGTAATATCAGATCGCATGCTCGAGACAGACGGTGACCCAATGGAAGAGCGGCTTCCTGGCTTTGAAACAAGCAGCCAGTCCTTGCGAACGACGCTGTTCATGGGAGCAGTTTTAAGCACAGCATCTGAAAGAGAGGGTTGCTGACTGGCCTCAACGCCATGTTCCACAGATACTGCAATTGGGGCTCTGGTGTAATCTGAGGCCAAAGCAGTCCGTGGACGTTGGATATTTTCCCCTCGGTCCAAGTCCACAGTTCCAGGTTTGAGAGCATCAAGATGTCTATCGCTATCTATCCGACGCAGCCCTTTTCGTATTGGTGATGGAGTCGACTTCATGTGTAAAAATGCTTTGGTCATTGTCACAGGAGAAGGAGCGCTCTCTGTGGTGTTGGGCGAGTTTGTGTGATGCGGTGCAATGCCCGTTTCTCGATCCTGGCTTGCCTGGGATGATTGGGTGCGAGCGTAGGGGTCCCAAGCGGGACTTAGTCCAGATTCGACGACAGTTGCTTGCGAAAGAAACGCTGCAGTAGAAATTGCCCCCGCGAATGACACAGGAAATGAACATTCAGCCGGTACAGGATTGTCTGATTTTTTAGAACTGATTTGGGGCGCGCACTGCTCGAGGTTTGGGTAGCTCATTCCATCAACTCGAGGTGAAGTGATGTCACCTGGACTCTCCGGCAACGGGCGCAAGCCATGAGAGTAGTACGCCTTGACGAGACTATTGACGTTCTGTTCGGTTCTGATATGAGCCGTGTCAAAGGCATATTGCGCGATGTACTGGGGGTCCGAAGAGCTGTTTGCGAAGAACTCAAGTATGTCTTGTAACCGAGAGGGATTGCGGGCGCCGTCAGCCTCCGTGGCCGCGTGTCGTCCGGTTGCCTGTTCATCCCACGTAAAATGCAACCTGGTACCTCGATCCCGCTCTTGATTTGTAACCAGGCGGTTCCATGCTTCCGCTATCTTTGGCTGTTTTAAAAGGCCACGAATCACAGAGGAATGCTGCCAATGGGCTCCTTGCATGCTTTCTTCGCAGTGCCGGCCGACGTGATCTAGGTAGTCAGGACGCGACTGCACGAAGGCACCGCAGAATCCACATCCCCAAGCTCCTCTTGTGGGTAGCTTGACTATGTGTTGAGTCGTTGGGGAAGAAGAAAGATTGTGAATATCTCGATAATGGGATGCAAGAGATGGTCGATCAGAGAAAGAATCGTGGCAAATGGAGCACAGATGCTCCTCGGGTCTGTCGTGATCCCTGAGTTCGTGATCCCTCCACTGGCCGGGACACGCAAACATGGCATCGCAAAATGTGCAATGATAGCGAGGCGGGTAGTCGTCGGTGTTGAAGCCGTCATCGCATTTCCCAGAACTACAAGGTGTTGCAGACAAATTAGGGTCCGCCGAGTCCAGGGAGTGTTGTCGAACCGAATATCGTGAGTATGCCGTCGAGGCAGTTGAGATTCTTAGGCCAGCAGTCGAAAAGATGCTGGGAGCAGCTGAGCTCCGTCTAGATGTCGAGGCGAGCGAGGCGCGGGAGTGTTTGCTGATGAGATCATGATCGTAAGTCGGAAAGTAGTCGGTCTCTTGCCAGATGTTGTCGGTATGTGTCTCGGGATATGGGTTTTCCTTGGATGTAGTAGTCGGCACCTGATACGAAGAAGCATCAATTTCTCCGACGGCATGGCTGGTGAATCCATCTCTCACAGGGTCCACCTTTGGCTGATGATGATTCAGAGCCATGAAGAGGATTTGGACGGTATTGGGCAGGGGTATGGTTTCTGTTAGACCACAAAGATATAAGTCAAGTGTACCAGTCTGTGTAGAATCCCGTGAGAAGAAGAAGGCAGGAAACGGGTTACCTCCAGATGGACCTTGTTCAAAAAGGGGTCGGTTCTTATTTATCGAAGCTCTAGGGGTGTCAGATCATGTCTTGTATCCAGATCTATGCTCATTCGACCAAATGATGAAGTGGACTCACGAACTGGCTGCGCACAGGGCTGTGCAAGACTTTGTGGGGGTAGTGAAGTCAAGAGGCTCTCAAGCGTCAGACGTGATCCGGGTAGAAGTAACCAAGCTATCGGGAGACGGAACGGTTCCTGGAGGAGGCGGTGCTTTCATTTTCTATGCCGGCCTCTAGGGTGACGCGGAGAGACGGTAGTATCATGTCAGAACAAGGCGAAGTCGCGGCCCTTGATGATGGTTTCGTGGGGTGTGCCGACGCGGAGCTCGTAGACTGGCCATTGTTCCAAGTCCAGGGTAACTTAGCGAATAGACTAGGCTTGGCAAGGTACGTAAGGATGGGGTTATGTCGTACGGAGATGCCGCTGTATAGCGACGTAACCCGGAGGGCATAAGGCTGAATCAATGGGGACGGATAGACAGACACTGCAGAGTACCTCTTTGACAGTCTCTTGGCTTGGAAGGTCGGTGTAGATGGAAGCTCATCGCAGCTGCGCACTGTTCAGGCCTCGACTGGGGCATCCAATGGCGTCTTGGAGATGGTGGAGGGTTGTATCAGCGCTGTTCCTTGTGCATGTCGAGTACCGATTTGATATATTGGTCAGATAGGTCGGGTACATGTTCTATTTCACAGCTCCACAACACGTTTGTTTTGTTGACGTTGATGGCTCTAATTTGAAAGCCACGGATCTCGCGCTTCAAGCTACATGAGCTATGAGCGTGAGGCAAGCTGCTCGCCTGAAGAGCCATCATGATACAAACGACAAAAACAAATCACCACGCCAAATACCACCATGGACTTGGCATCACTTGAACTGTCGGAAGAGACTGGATCGACTTGAGGTACTGTGTAGTATCGTGATGGTGTCGTCGACGCTGCGTGACCCAAAATGGAAATGATAGGTACACAGCGGCACCACATCCATGCAACGGGCCGGAGTGGTGCGCCATCGAAACCCGTACGCTTCTGATGCGCTGAAGAACGGGAGCATTGGGGCGATTTGGGGGTGTCGTGCATCCTGTAGGGCTCTTCCGCCACTGTACATACTGTACCATCCCTCGAAGACCCGGAGGTGGTGTCGCTGATTGGATGTCCGGATGGACGGAACCGTTTCACGACCAATCCCGCAGAAGCCAGAGAAGGCATTCCCATGTTGCGACGCCTGTGATCATCCAGACAACGGCCATTATAGGATGTGAAACCGATGATGAGCGACATGCTTTGAATGGAATAATCAAAGCATCCCAAGTCTTGTCTTGTTGTTGTTGTGCCACGCCCTGACGAGAACATCAACGTCGCAGTAGACGATGCGTTGAATGTCCTGAGACCGGGCAGTCGACAATGTTGGCCTGAGTCATCCGGCGTTCCGGTCACTTCAGTTGGTAATCCATTCATGGACGCCGGGTCTTGCTTGGAAATGCGAAGCTGTCGACACTTGTGACAACCCAAGTCCGAGGTGGGCATGTTGACATGAGGTGGCAGAGGGGAGCCCGAAAGAGAGAAGTGAAGTACACCAGTTTGTGAGGCGAGAAGCGAGAGAACCCGTGACCGACGCCTTCACATATTTCTCGATCTGACTGCATATCGTGTCTCGTGTGAGTAGACATGACGCCAACAAACAACGTAGGATGGCATGTGTCTCGGTCGACGACAAAGGAGTATGTATTTGCATATTGGCACGAAAACGACAGAATAAGTAAGGGGATTGTGGCATTGCCGCAATGGAAAGAAGAACAAGGACTCATCATGAATCATCCGTCTCGCTGCTTTCCGAATGGAAAGCCGTAAAAGGATCGATGAAGGACGGACTGTTACCGACACCGCCAAACAGTCCAAGCCTCAATCTCTCCCATTGTGCAGGTCAGACATGCAGATCGAGCCCATAGGGCTGATGTGAGTGAGGGAACTCGACCATTGGCCAAATAATATGCGATCTGGTTGAGTTCGATGCAAAGAGTCAGGTGTGGTGAGTGGGTGTGGGCGAATGGGGCAGCAAAATGTCGAGCCCAGGTCAGCTTGAAGCTGTGAGTGGAAGTCCTGTTGCGAAACTGCGGGACTGTCAGGCAGAGAAGAGGCCAGACACACGGACAGCTGTCGCCCAGCTGGCAAGACTCGTCTTATCCAAACTCTTATCGGCACCAAAATCCAAAGAAACTTTCGCACAATTGCTGCTGCCATTGCCAAGCCTTCCCAACTTACAGCGCTCCAACGGGCCAATGGGGTCGCCAATGCGGCGTGAATTGGGGTAGGCAGAATCCCCACCCCGCATGGCTGTGGCCCGTGCTTCGTCCTGAGCTTGCCGCAAAAATTTCGAAAAAACTTGTCCAGGGCAAAAGTGGCAGAGCAAAAAAATATCCAAACACAGCGCCGTTCTGATTCCCGGAGACCGAAGACTGAGTTCATGCACCGGTGGCATTGAACGACGCCCAATTGCGCACAACACTCGAATCCCAGCGCACCCGGTTACCCAGTCACCCATCAATTCAGAGTCATCATACGACAACATCACCGTTAAGATGGCCAACGTCAACTATCTTTTGTTCGAAAGCGCGGTCGGCTTCTCGCTCTTCGAGGTCGTCCACCAGGCCGACACTGTCGGCTTGGAGCTGCCCGAGGTCAAGGATGCCATGAAGGATCTCGACAAGTTCGGCAAGATGGTGAAGCTCCGCAGCTTCAACCCTTGGAAGTAGGTAGCCAGAAGCAAAAGCATTGTGTGGTTTTGGGGTGGGTGTTTCGGGTTGAGGTGGTTGTGGTGATATCATGGTGATGTGGTGGTGGTGGTGATGATGATGTTGGGAGGGACAGAAACATTGTGTGAATTACTTGTCTTGGCTGAACCAGAAACTAACGTTCCTTAACCTCCAGCTCTGCCGCCCACGGTCTCGAGGCCATCAACCTCATCTCCGAGGGTATTATGCCCGACCACCTCAAGAACACCCTCGAACTCAACCTCCCCCAGACCAGCGGAAAGAAGAGCAAGATCGTCCTCGGTGTCGTCGACAAGAGGCTCGCTGGTGAGATCAGCGGAAACTTCCCCGGTATCCAGTGCGAGGCTGCCGACACCTCCGAGGTCGTCGCTGCCCTCCTTCGCGGCATCCGCACCCACGCCGGCAAGCTCCTCAAGGGCCTCCAGGACGGTGACATTAACCGCGCCCAGCTCGGTCTCGGTCACGCCTACTCCCGTGCCAAGGTCAAGTTCTCCGTCCACAAGAACGACAACCACATTATCCAGGGTATCGCTACCCTCGATGCCCTCGACAAGGGTATCAACTCCGGCGCCATGCGCGTGAGGGAGTGGTACGGCTGGCACTTCCCCGAGCTCATTCGCATCGTCTCCGACAACGGCACCTACGCCAAGGTCGTTCTCGCTGTCGGCAACAAGAAGTCTCTCAGCGACGAGTCCCTCGACGAGCTCGCCAACGTCCTCAACCAGGACGAGGACAAGGCCAAGGCCATCATCCAGGCCGCCAAGGTCTCCATGGGTCAGGACATCAGCGATATGGATCTCAACATGGTCAAGGACCTCGCGGACAACGTCTCCAAGATGGCCGACTACCGCCGCATCCTCGCCGAGTCGCTCGACAAGAAGATGGGCGAAGTCGCTCCTAACCTGCAGGTCATCCTCGGCACCCCCGTTGCCGCCCGCCTCATCTCGCACGCCGGCTCCCTCACCAACCTCGCCAAGTACCCCGCCTCTACCCTCCAGATCCTCGGTGCCGAGAAGGCCCTCTTCCGCGCTCTCAAGACCAAGGGCGCCACCCCCAAGTACGGTCTCCTCTACCAGAGCACCTTCATTGGCCGCGCCGGTCCCAAGGTCAAGGGTCGCATCTCCCGCTACCTCGCCAACAAGTGCTCCATTGCCTCCCGTATCGACAACTTCTCCGAGAACCCCACTAAGCGCTTCGGTGAGGTTATGCGTGAGCAGCTGGAGCAGCGTCTGGAGTGGTACGCCAAGGGCATCAAGCCCATGAAGAACACTGAGGCCATGGACAAGGCCATCAAGCTCGTCATGGACGACGAGGGTGACATGGACATTGACACCGAGATGGTCGACTCGCACACCGCCACCCACGCCGCCGACTCCAAGAAGGACAAGAAGGAGAAGAAGGACAAGAAGAAGGACAAGGAGGACAAGAAGGAGAAGAAGGACAAGAAGGACAAGAAGAGGAAAGCGACTAGCGAAGACGTCGAGATGGTAGACGCCCCCGACGCTGCGGAACCCGAGAAGAAGAAGAAGAAGAAGAAGTCGAAGTCTGAGTAAAAAGACCGAAAGAAAAAGAGCCAAAAGCAGCGTCACCACTTGTGTCTTTTTCACGATTTTTACTTTTTTTCTTCGTCATCTTGTTTAGAGCTTCTCGTCGCGTTTTTTGGCACGTCGTTCTTGTTGGTTCGCTCTGTTGTCGTTGTTATCCTCGGGAGTTTCTTATAATGTATGGGGTATGGGTCAAATCTGGTACAAAGGAGTTTTACGGGTCTACTTGTTTCTTGCAAGAATCATAAATAGTTCGTCGTTGTCGTCATTCACATCTCTTGCCATCTACGACTGATCATAGAGGGGTAGCGCAAAAAAGTTTGGAAGGATGTGCGTGTGTACTAGCATCATACCCATGGAGCATCATATGGCGGCGATATGGGTAAAAACAAAGGCTCATTAAACGAACGGAACGTACGTCTTATGGAACCTGGTTGATGTATGAAGTGCCATGAATCTATGTACTCTTCCATTATCGCATGATTGCAAAACGCCCATCGACACTCCATAGTCTTCCCCTGATTTTCTCGCTAGAATAATATCGTCATCATCAAGTCTTCGTAGTAAACATGTGCCATGCCGCATGCAATGTGCTGCCAAGATAAAAAAAGGGGCTTGCAAGACTGATAACCCCAAAGTAAAAGTACCTAAGACATTCAGATACCCGCCGCCCTCTGTATACCACTCCTTCGCTTTCCATGGGAGAAACACCAAAGAACAAGAATAAACCGCACGAACGAACCATTGACCACACCCGCCCCCACACTGTGGCAGGCCGGCATTTCTCTACGCACCCTCACTACCAAACTCCTTTGTCCATTCCTCATTCCTCTTGAGATCCTCGCCCGACACAGTCGGCCTGCTGGCTTTGATGGCCTTGATAAAGTCCTTCTTGTCGACAAATGGTTCGAGCAGCTCGTCCGAGGGTACCTGCTCCCACGTCATTTCGATGGCGTCGGGGTCGCCTGGCGAGCAAGGCGTGAGCATTTGTTTGCCTTCGTGGACCACCTGTTTTTTTGTAGTAACAACAGTCAACAATCATGCAACATGAATAGAGGTAGAAATAGGGGTTGAGGGTCAGGGATGGGAGAGAAAAGTTAAAATAAGAACGAACCTTTTTGAAATGTGTAGCCTGCTGAATCTTCCTCACCGGTTGCATCAACGCATCCTGCACAACAATACTGATATCCGAACCCGAATAACCCTCCGCCGCGCGCGCCAGCTCGCGGAAGTCTTCCGCTTTGAGGGCCGTGTGGGTGTCGCCTACAGCCAGCCGGAACATGGTGGTGCGCGCCGCCAGGTCCGGCAGAGTGATGTGCACGCGGCGCTGGAAGCGGCGACGGATAGCAGCATCCAGCTGCCAGGGGATGTTGGTCGCGCCTAGGATCAGCACGCCCTTGCTGTCTTTACCGACGCCGTCCATTTGGACCAAAAGTTCGGTTTTTATCCTGCGCGAGGCTTCCGACTCGCCTTCGCCGCGCGGACCGCAGAGGGCGTCGATCTCGTCGATGAAGATGATCGAGGGCTTGTTTTCTCGGGCCATGGCGAAGAGTTGCTTGACTAGACTGGTTTTTGTGGAAAACCGTTAGCTTCCCAGTCACGATAGTGGCATAAGAATAGAGGCAATGGAACAAAACATACCGTTCACTCTCACCCATCCACTTGCTCACCAAATCCGAACTGCTCACACTGAAGAACGTGCTCTTCGCTTCCGTTGCAACCGCCTTCGCCAGATAACTCTTTCCTGTTCCCGGTGGGCCATACAGCAAAATACCCTTCCACGGCTGCCTCTTCCCCTGGAACAGATGCGGGAACTTGATCGGCAACAAGACCGCCTCCTTGAGCGCCTCCTTGGCACCCTCTAGACCAGCCACATCATCCCAGCTGATGTTCGGCCGTTCCTGCAGAATCGCGCCCGCCAACGCACTTCTCAGCTTCTTGCTATCCTCATCCAACGCTTCTCCGTTGCCATTGCCGTCCTCTCCGGCTTCCTTCCCCTTCCCCGTCCCGCCCGTCGACCCCCCGTTCGCGCCCACCATTCCGGGCTTCTTCCGCTTCGCTTCCGCGTCCGCCAGGTGCGCTTTGAGCTTCTCGGCCCGGTCCATGTACTCGCCCGTCTTGGCCCGGATCATCTCCTTAGATTTCGGGTTCTTCTCCCATTTTAGGGCGAGCATGAAGAGTTCGAGCGATTGGTAGTACAGCTGGTAGGCTTTGTCGTACTGGGCGGCGTTGTCGGCTTCGATGGCTTTGCGCACTTGCTCGATGGCGCGGCCGAGGAAGTCGGTATTGGACATTTTGGGCGGCGGCGGTTCGAAGCGTGTAAAGTGGTGTCGCGTGAATTCGTGGTTTAGTCGAGTGTATAATTGGTGGTTCTTCTTGGCACGCCGTAGTAAGCGTTTGTAGTCGTTAGACTTGTTTGCTTCTTCGCTCGGACAAGGAGAGTTTGTTGATATTCGCGCGCCGAGGTTCGAAGTCAATGTCAACAGATGGCCATATGCGAGGGAGGAGACTCGTTGATGACGACTGCTGTTGTCCTAGGCTACGGAAACGAGAGTGGCAGAGATAAGGTGGAGAGAGATCGAGACCTGGTCGTATCTTGCGGGCGTCACCTGGTAACGAGTACAACAAGATTGTCTTCTGGCACAAAAGAGTTGGTGTCGCGCCCTGGTCTGAGGTGGAATTGGAGAGGGGAAGATTGATGGTGGTCTTGTCCATATGATCTTGGTTTCAAGCAACGAGGTCGACTTGTCTTGGCCGTTGACCTGGAAGCGCTAGCGTAGCGCGGGGTCCTGCTATGGTTCCCGGCCGGGCCTGGGGCCACTGACGCCACTTGTTTGCGCGTGGAGAGAGCGCTGGTCTGGGGCTGTTAGTACTTTGCCTGAGACTACACTTCGACACTAACAGCTAAAGCTCGGGCACTGACCTGGGGATCTGCTCAGCTCACCCCTGACGATTGACTGCACAGCGAGCTCAGTTCCCCAGAATAGAAGGAACCTCCAAATTCCCCATATTGGAGCTCACCTGTGTTTCCTGTTCCTACATTTTGATCCATCATCTTCCCTCCCTCACTGTGTCCAAACCCTTTTTCACTTTTTCGAACGTCACCACCTAGTAATTTCTTAACATAACCCTCTCTTTCACTTCACATCACCCCCACAGAAGCAACCATGGCCAGCCCCCTCCAACTAAAGCTCCAAGCTCTCTCTGATGAGTATCAAAACCTGAACAAAGGTGAGCCCCCCTTATGATGATATCCCCGTAGTTCATCTACTAACTGTACCTCAGAACTCCAAGAGACTGTTCTCGCCAGACAGAAGCTCGAGGCTCAGAAGCAGGAAAACATCAGCGTGCAAAATGTCAGCTTTCTTCCAAGCATCGAGCTCGCATGCCCAATGCCTTTCGCCAAATTCTGCCCAAGGAAAAAAATGGGGACTAACTGAGCACCATGTAGGAGTTCGAGAAGCTCAAGGATGACGAGCAGATCTTCAAGCTAGTGGGCCCGGTGCTGCTCAAGCAGGACAAGATGGACGCAGAGAACACGGTCAAGGGTAGACTGGAGTTCATCAGCAAGGAGATGTAAGTGAACTGCTGCATGGGATCTTGAGTTCCAAAGCAACTGACCTACTGTCACAGCACTCGCTTGGAGGGAGTCATCAAGGAGACACAGGGCAAGATTGAGAAGAAGAGGACAGAGATCATTCAGGTCCAGACGAGCGCCCAGGCTGGTGGTGCCCCTCAGGCCGTCAAGGCTTAGACCTAATGGAATCAGTTACGGAAAGAATGTCCACGATACCCAATCGAGATCAGGCGCAGGTACGATTCATCACAGAGCGATCCGGGGAAACTGTCTCGTGAATGCAGTCATAGGTCGATTTTTTTTACCAAACGGTGATTATTACGTGATGTATTTACCGAAGATTCCCCCAAGATACCCCTTGACGCCTTGCTCTAAAATCGCTGAATGGAGATAACCAAAACACAGCTTACACCCCCCCTCTCCCTTCCCCTTACTCATCCACCCACCGACAGACCGCAGCTTCTCATCCTGTCTAGTATAACCTCAGTTCAGCGCCATAATTGTGAACCCCCACGGCAGCCCCATATTCTTACAACTTCGGCCACTAACCCACGCCACACTATCACTCGACAAATCCTCGCCCACCGCATTCAGCGAAAGCAGACTACTCCCGCCCTGCTGGGACGCCCGATCCGGATCCTCCACCATTGCCACCACGAAGCTGACCAGCTCGTCCTTAGTATAGCAATGGCTCAGCAAGGACGTCGCGCCGATACGATCCAGCATCGTTCTGCGCTGCTCGCTCTCGGCAAAGAGCTGGAGTTCCCTGGAGAGGAGACTGGTCGTCAAGTCTCCTGAGCCAGAGTTTGCGAAAGCTGCAGAAGAAGAACAAGCACGCAAGAGCCGCTCAAAAACCATGGCCATCCCCGCAACAGCTTGGACGAACAGCGTCACCTTGTCGTGATCGTCTAGCCCAGCCTCGATGCGGAATTCCTTCTCGGTCACGAAGGCGAGACAGGAGGTGTCGAAGATGGAGTTGAGGATACGGTCGAGGCTGGAGGGCTGGGAGAGGAGGGCATGACTGCTATCCGGGAGGGCGTAGGTGTTGGTGAATTGGACGAGGATCTGTTTGAGTAGGGTGGAGAGGCAGGTCTCGGGGGGGACAAGGAGACGGCCCTGTTCGAAGGATAGGTTGTCGGCTGCTGCTTCGATGCTGGCTGTTTACGCGGGGAGATGGGGTGTTAGCTTGGGTGTGCCGGGCGTGAGGGCTGTGTGAGGAGGAGGAAAGGGCTGGGCGGAGGAGTTGTGGTGGACTTGCCTTGCATTGGGCTTACGGAGGAGACTGTGGACGCCATTGTGATGAAGAGAAAGAAGATTGAGGGTATCACTGAGATGTAGAAATGGTATCAATAACAGAGGAGAGATGCAGGTTGATGGTAGAGTACCACAACACACAAGCACTCGGGGATCAAGGCAGGATTATAAGCAAGTAGACAACACACAGAATGGGATACACGAAAAGTCTCGCCGCCTCCTATTTTCCAGGTTTGATATTAATCTTACTGTCTTGGAAAAGGCATTTCCGTATAATCAGCCTGCGACCGAAGTTACACCGTGATCGAGGTCATGATGGCGCGGTCGAGATCGTGGAAAACAAGGGCACCGCATCGCGTACCTGTCAGCTGGCCAGTTGCAAGTCCTGTTTACTATACGTATCTGTCAAGGGCTAGATTCTTCACCCTCACATAATCTCAATGCCTCACTCCTTGTGGCATATCCTCGCCCCCCGTTTGGTTCCGATCCCCTTGGCGGATTCCGTAAACTCCCGATTTTGAGGCTGGACATGGTTCCCAAGTGGTTCGACTTGCATTTCGCTAACCTGCTTCTTTGGGCCTTCTGATCCATCGGCTGGTCCCGCCGTGTCACCAAGTGTTGGTCGCTAAAATACCACGAAAACAGGCAGGATATCGCTGTTGCCATGTTTGAAATGATGACAGCTCGCATGGGAATCAGACAAGAATTGGATGTTTGATCTGATGCGAAACACCCTCCCAACTTCTAGAAACTTGTGTGCATAATTTGGCCGTGGGGGTTCAAGTCAGCTATATGAGATCAATGCAGGAATGTGATACAACAGAATCTCAACATGGTCAACCGCCGGGATATTGGACGCAGATTCAATTCGAAGAATCGATGCCATCCATCATTTATCTTGCCATTTCACATGGTACGTTCAAACTACAAACTTGAAAATGGCAAAATGTCGAGTCTACCATACTTCCTGTACTTGTACAAGACCGCCAAAGTGGCCTGTGCACCTTCCAAGCTGACTCAGCTGATATGCCTTGTCTCTTGAAGCCTGCCGAGCTGTTCCGTTGCTGGCGCTTCCCCTTCTGTCAAGCCAGAGCGAGGCAGCCTGGCGGCAGGCATTGGATCTGCTCTCGCACTGCCCGCCGCGCGGCCCAATGGCGGGGTCGAGGCGGCCGCCAAGGTTCCTGCTTCCAGGTCGTCTTTCAGCAAAGAAGCCACTGAAAGGTTCCTGGACGGCATGTGGACTGTTTCCGGGACCCTGTGACGGTTATGACATGGACAGCTCCTTTGACCAGAACAACAAGCGAGCCGGAGCCCATTCCATGGCCGCCGGGTCTCTTGGTCATCTCCCACGACACCCAAAGCCTGGCTGATTCCAAGGAACAAACAATGAAAGCTGGATTGCCCGATCTCGACAACCCCATAATCTTCCCCAATCCGAGCGACAAGAGCAAGAACAACATCCGTTGCGATAGCTTCGAGTAGCTCTCAAGGTTCACCAACCAGCCGAGCCAGGGCAGCCATTGCGATTACGACAGCGACCAAAAAATCCCCGCGACGACCGACAAACAGAAGGAAACACTACAACAACAGCAAACAGACAACACCGATAGTGTATCCTTGTTAGTACACGGCGACCATGGGAAGCGCGACGATAGAGGCCGGGAGCCGGCCCATGAATGTCAGGGAGATATCCGAGAAAGCAAAACAATACGACTGGAACCCCCGGATTGGCTTCAAGTTCTGGGCGCGCGCTGCCAACACCATCCATCATGAGGTCCGTCACAAGTCTGCCATGGCAGCAACACCAAGAAGGGTCGCTGACTAGTATCTGGTGGTTACAGGGTCAGATCTACCTCCAAGAAGGAAGCATAGCGCAAGCTTACATGTTTCTCCTCCGCTACTGCACCCTCGTGCTCGAGGATATGGCGAAGCACCCCGAAGCTAAACTCCCCGAAAACCGAGGACTGATGAAGCAACTGAACGCACGCATAAATACCGTGGTTGAACAGCTTGAACAGCTCAAGCCCCAGATAGAGGAGGCCTATGCGAAGTGGCAGCAGCTCACGGCCAGCGTACAAGACAGCAGGGAGAAGCGGCTATCTACATCTTCCCAATACTCCAGACACGCTGCCAACGACGCTGCTCTGTCATGGAACCATCTTTCTCAGGCTAAGATCCTGGATGCTGGATCAAACCAAGAGTTGGCAGTCGACCTTGCTAGAGAGGCGCTGCTTAAGCGACGGAGACGACGACGGCAAGAGAGTGCTGATGAAGATGAACGCATGCACAGGCCTCCATCAGGTTACAGAGAGGAGAGAGGTTATGATGCGGGCAGGAGACAGCAATATCCTACTCCACCACCAACGAACCATCGCTATTCGGAAGACGACGACCTTCGCCGGCAAATGGAGGCCACAAGACGACAATTGGACCGCTCGGGAGGCTACGGGGTTTCGGAAACTGACAATGGTACCAGCGACACCGACAGCTATCGATCCGTCAACTATCACTACCCAGCCATCAAACCAACATCTACTTATACCTACGACTACCCGAAGCCGGCGTCACGGCCGGAAAGCCCAAAACCACAGCCACCACTTCCGCCCAAGGTGATCCCCTTTGAGCGACCAGTGCCCGTCACCAGACCTCCTCCACCACCTCCACGCCCACGGAAGGGATCGGGGTCGTTGAACAGAGATTCAAGGAGGAACGTTATGCTTCCTAGTCAGACTATTCGACTAGTAACCGACGAGGACGATGTCGACGATAAGCCCGCAAGACCGCCCAAAGTCAGCGAACCGCCGCCGCCGCCAGAAACGCAGCCGAAAGAAGCGAACAAAGTCACCTTCCGCCCCGTCGCCTACCTCGAAAGCGGCGAACCTCTCCGATCCGTGTTCCTCCCCAGCGGTCTGCGCCGCCGTTTCCTCGAACTAGCCCGTGGAAACACCATCAGGGAGCTGGAGATGTGCGGTATTCTCTGTGGCACGCTAATCAATAATGCCCTGTTCATCACCTGCCTGCTCATTCCTGAACAAGAGTGCACCTCGGACACATGCGAGACCATCAACGAGGAAGCGTACGTCACGTACTGCATCGAGAACGACCTGCTCGTCCTCGGTTGGATCCACACTCATCCGACGCAGACGTGCTTCATGAGCTCGAGAGACTTGCATACCCATGCCGGATACCAGACCATGATGAAGGAGAGCATTGCCATTGTTTGTGCGCCGAGATATGATCCCTCGTATGTCCTCTCACCCTCCCTTTTTACCCGCATATCCTTCTTTACCCCTTTCAATATCAACAGCTAACAAGTCTACCAACAAAACAGATACGGTATCTTCCGCCTCACGGACCCTCCCGGTCTCCCACACATCATCAACTGCAACACCCCCGGCGTCTTCCATCAGCACGCCATTCCCTCAGACGATATTTACTGTAGTGCCCGTCATGCACCAGGGCACGTGTTTGAGTCAAGCAGAGTTGACTTTGAGGTGGTGGATCTGAGGCCTGAGGGATCCAAGGTGCCGCCGTTCAAGAGGTATTAGTGATCACCCTCGAGTCCCTCGGCCGCGGTTATGAAGGTGGGACGGAAGGTGAGGAAGACCGTGAATCATGAGTTTTCGGTTGGGGAGTTTTAGCGCTCGCTTTTGTTTTGATCATGTTGGACGAGTTGTGGTTACTGAAAAGCCACATGGGCAAAAACCAATGCTTAGCAGGGAGTGCATGCTTTGAGTACAGGAGTTAGAGTCTAGCGTGTATGGGTAGCATAGCGAAGGCGTTTATGGTTGGCGCAATGTACTAACAGACACAACGCGCCAAGAAGGAGCATGATCTTGGACTCCTGGAGGCTGCGAAAGCTTAAAAGGGTTTGCAATGGGATGACTGGTGGCCGGTTGTCCTTGCAGTCGACGTATCATACCATATGGAGACAGACGGTAAACATATATGGTCATAAACTACTTAAGAGTCTATTCGTGTCGAAAGTTGTGGCATTTCAGCCTCTTGTGAGCTGGCAGTATCCTATGTATGATCACCACGTTGGCCATTTAGTATCAACCTGTAAGCCAGACAATGTAGTCTGACCCGTATGTTGTGCAACTTGTTAGTTCCCGTTATTCATTGCCAAAACAATATACAACCTAATTCACCACAAGGCCTCGATACTCCATGGGAAACACTGGTGTCCTTGACCACAAATCGAGTTACTTGTCACACCTTGAGTGTTGAGGCATAACCAACGCTTCACAGTAAACACCGTAGAGCAACTGGACAAAAGAAACTAAGAAGATAAGTTCTGCTCGAACAAACAGAAACAACTCATCCAACCACCAGGAAAAGTCGGAAGACATGATCAGGTGAAAAAAACCAAAAAGATGGTGGACGAGCTGGGAATCGAACCCAGGACCTTTCGCATGCTCGGAAACATGCTAAGCGAACGCTCTACCAACTGAGCCACACGCCCTGTGTAACCTTATTGGTTGTTGATATTTGTGAGTGGTGATTGTGAAGCTATAAGACAAGATAAAAGGGAAAATGAGGGTAATGATGTGGTTGTAGTGTAGCTTTGAATGAGACCCGAGTCTACCTCTAGTTTTGAGAGGTGCACCTAGCGAAGGTTGGGCGGCTTTAACGCGAGAAACCATTAACGAATGGATTGACCAATACCTTATAGATACTTCATAACTGCAAAGGTTTTCGTGCATTGATCACAAAGCTGTTGGATCCCGAGGTGTTTTGGCTGGGTTTGGTATTGTTCTGGGTAGTAGACTCGGGTGTCATCGATTCTGTCCTGGGCGACTGGAGCCTCAGACTTTGACAGCAAGCAAGCAGGGAACGCGGGAAGGGAAAACTAATGATGATGATAGGGGACACTAGTTCTTTTGCTACATTTTCAAAGTCGTGGATGGGTAGAGTAGTAGGAAATCTGTTAAAGACCGAAGTCGTCGTCTGTCGTGGAAAGGAAGCGGACAGTTTGTTCAAAGTTCGCGCGATGCCCCTACCGGTAGTCGGTGGACAGTTGCCCCGGTGGCCGGTGGGAGGGTGGCCGGTGGAGGGGGAAAGTTAATTGTTAGTGCAATCACCACCGCACCCCGCGATCGATTTCACGACATCACTTCAGTTTTGACTCCTCGCAGTTTGGTTCATAGGTAGTAATGACATTCATCTTCACCTATGTGTACTCGATTCAGCTTTCGAATGGTGGAACATGCAAATCTTGCAGTTTCCCATTCGGAGAATTAATGTACATACATATAATATTTACCCTCGTCATCGCTGTCCTCGGGCATAACGTTGTGCCTGCCGCCGGGCTGCTGCTAAATCCCGTCGGCACCGATTAGTAAGTACCGGCTCCACATTTCACCTCCACAGTGGCTTCCTCCACTCCGTCAATGTTCCGTCTAGGTCCCGACGTTGCGATCTGGTTTCTTCCCCGCCGCAGAGCATCCGGACCATGATCAAAATAGCAGCCGCCAATTCAGGGGTCGAAGGTTCGAGAATTGGGATTTGGTTAAGTGTCTTGTTTTGCTACGTAGCGGAGTGTTGCACTAAACCTTTGGGGGCTTCTTCCTCGGACCATTGAAAGTGCAAAGCAGGACGGGAGCAGAGCTCTGATGGAAGATAGAAAACTCACGACACATCGAGAATGGTGTGTTGCAGTGTGTGTCTACTACCGTGTAACCCCATGCCATTTGAATCGATGGGTTGCCAAATGCCAACTGGGCAATAGCGCGGGAGTTCCTGTTATCCCGTCAATCTGGATGGAAAGAGGACTTCGAAAGATGTTGCAACTTCTACTTTAATCCCGACATCCAAAGATTGCTCAACACACTGCCGTACACTACACCGCAACATATGTGATGACAACATATCAACAGCCAATACGTGTAGCTATAGTTCATTCAAGTCGGGACGACGTTCTATCTATCGAGACGGTCACTTCTGCGTCTCGAGCTCGTTTCACAGGGTCTCTTTGTGCCCCCGGCATCCCGTCCATTCGGTGGAGTCCCTTCGTCCCCAAGGCGGGCCAGGTCACCGCATCTGCCGCCTGGTCCTGGGAATTCTGGGATAGCCCGCCCACCTTCGTCCGCCGGCACTTGATGGGAAGCATTTCTTGGCATTTTTTTTGAAGGACACTTTGTACGACCACGATTATAAATGGATGGTTTTGCAACCCCCTTGGCAATCCCAGCCGCTGACTAATTCCGGAAGTAGTAGACGATCTCCAATAGAAGCCCATGGATAGTTACAGTCTGGAACACGGGCTATTATGTACACTATTGTTTGGCAGCGGAAACTAGAAGTGATTGTGGATGATTTGGCCAGTTCTGGTTTATGCTGGAGGCCGCTTGACGCCCTGAACATCGAGGGCGATGTCGATCCGGCATCCGCTCGGTTGCTTCCGAGATGGAGACACAGCTGAATGCTTGACAATGCTTCACAATCTTCAACAAGTGAGACACAGGGGTCCTTTTGTTCAGCTATAAAGTTGGGGTTTTAGTCTTCTTTACTTCTGACTTGACCTTTTGTATCTATTCCTTAAGACTCTTTCGACCTATCCATACTCATCACGCCATCCATAACTCGGATTGCAACATCTCACTCGACTCTTATACCAATAAACTTATACCCAAAGAACCACAAACAAACATCAACATGGCTCCCTTCGCCACCATCTACACTTACCCCAACAACGTCCGCGTCCAGCGTGTATGTCTCCTCCCCCCGCTTTAATCCGCTCCCCTCCCTTCCCTCTCCTTCTGTTACTCTACTTCCCTTTCCTGCCCTTTTCCATATTACTCCTCTCTCCCATTTACACCTCAACCACCTCAACCACCTTAACCCTCCTTTGCCACATTGACTAACCCACTCCCTTCCAGGCCCAAGCCGTCGCCAAGCTCAACGGCCTCGAGATCGTTGAAGACAGCGACTTCCAGCTCGCCAACCCTTCGGACCCCAAGTGGGCCGCCATCCTCGCCAAGTTCCCCTACGGCAAGGTCCCCGCCCTCTCCACCACCGACGGCTCCCTCAACCTGACCGAGGGCCAAGCCATCGTGCGCTTCCTTGCCGACTCCGGCCCCAAGTCCGAGCAGCTCCTCGGCCGCACCGCTGTTGACCGTGCCTTGATCGAGCAGTGGGCCTGCTTCGCCGAGCAGGAGCTCTTGACCAACCTGTACCCTTGCATGTTGATGGTGCACAGGCCCGACTTGGTCCCGTACACCCCCGAGGGCTATGATGCTTCTGCCAAGAAGTTTGAGCGCGCTGTCAAGCATGTCGAGAACACCCTGGCCAAGGGTAACGGCAAGTTCCTTGTTGGTGACGAGGTGACGGTTGCGGATGTCATGGTTGCTGGCGCCTTGATCCTGGCGAGCAAGTTGTTGTTGGATGCCGAGATGAAGAAGAGCGCCGCGCCTAGCGTTGAGGGATACCTCAAGGGTCTGTTGGAGATTCCTGAGCTCAAGGAGTCGTTTGGCGAGCTGGTTACCGTCCAGGAGCGCCTCCGTGGCAAGACTGAGTAAAAGGTTGATGACGTTGATGGCGAGGACATGATACCATAGTTGGAACACCAAAAAAGTTAATGATAATGGGTTTTTATCGAGTGCTACTTAGTACATTTCCACACTGGAACTCACGATTGTGTCAAGGATGCATACATTTTATGGGGGAGGGCAAGAACTTGATTGAAACTATGTGTGAGGAATGGAAGCCCGTCCAAGAGTGTAACCTCCATGAGACTTTGATCTCCTACTACCACCTGTCGGGTGCCAATGCACAAGCGCAAGATACACTGACTACTTGTTCAAACCAATCTCATATTACTTTGAAGTCCCCCATCATCAGTCATTATACCCAGCTGGCATATGGATCCAGTGTAGAAAACCCGTTCCCAAATGTCAACATATGCCTGACGAAACCTATGTTTGTTGAACAACCCAAGCATGCTATGTGCCCCATACTATCTGTCCATGCAAAGAAAAGCGAGAGGAAGCCCTCCGTACAAGATCCCGCCGCCCCAGAAATGAACTCCGACGCCAGTGAAATCAGGCTGCGGTGCTGCCAGCAGACGCCCAGTGTATCGTGATAAACCGTTGGTAATGTGCTGCCTGCAGCTTTAGCTCAGCGAGGACTTGGCTCCAACTCAGCTTAGGTGTGGTAAAGACCGTAGATGGCGGCGGCCCAGCGGCCAGGAAAGTCGCTAGGGCAATTGGCGTAGCCCTCGGCGCCGACAACGAGGCGGCCATCGGGCGTGGTCCAGCGGAAGTTGTCAATCGAGTAATGGATGAAGTCCTGAATGTCCTTGTTGCACAGATCGATCAAGACACCATCCGGCTGTGCGTCGTACTTGCTGGCAATGTTGACAGCGCAGGTGCCGTGGCTGAGAATCTCCCTGGGAATGGTGTCGTGCCAGGACCAGCAGATGGGGGTGTGGTCAAAGTCGGGGATGATCACGTCCGCAATGTAGCGGCAGTCATCGACGAGCGGGGAGGCGGCAGTAGTCTTGGTCACGTATTTATCGCCTTTGCAGTCGTGGAACAACATGTGGGGCAAGCCATCGCTGTTGAAAACGTGGGTGCCGTTGTTGTCAGGGTCATGCTTGAACGCGCCGAGAGTGGGAGCAGCGCTGACCAGAGCAGCAAAGCTCGGAATGAGGGCGACGAATGTCTTGAGGAGCATCTTAACGAAGTGAGAAAACAGAAGAGTGAGGTAGTCTTGTGATGTGGCTTGCTTCTTATTGTCTTGTCGATGATCAAGGTGAGAGAGTGGTGATCCAAGTTTTGAGCTTGAGAAGGCCAGCAAGAGGAGTGGTGATGGATGAAGGAGGAAAAGAAGAAGAAAGAGTTTGTGGGAGGAAGGAACCCCTCCTTTATACCTGCCCAAGGGTTGTTTGCCCTCGACTCGAGGATCACCCAGCGGTGGTACGTTCCTTCCAAGTCTGGATTTCCAAAAGTTCGGATGAACGATACTGTAACCAGCCTTGTCGGTTTTTGCCAAATTGACCGCCCTCATCCGAGAGGTGGCGGGACTTTTGCGTTTCATCTTACTGCACCTTTTATCTTTGTCCAGCAAGGTTCTCATTGCTTCCATTATCTGGCTAGCATTCCTCGATCCAGTACCGCACGAGGGGGGTCAGAAAGCGATCGGTTGCCCTGTTGGAGAACTGGAGGTAACAGCCTCGGTTCTCAAACGGGACTTGAGAGAGAATGTAGTTGTACCAAGCATCGAACCACCCGTACCATGTTTTAGTATCATCTCCGTCGTGGGACGACATACCCACAATGGGATGAGTTTGTGGTCATCTGAAGAAATAGGACCTTTGCGAGTTTGCGGTCATGTAGTGTCCATCACTCTGCTTTCACTTGGCGATCACACCTGGGAATGCTGAACAAGATGGGTTGCGAGAAATGCAGACGGTGTTGCCACCACAATGGAACGAAGAGAACTTATGATCAGGTTTTGTACCGTGTACTATCTCACAAGCTCATTATCACCATCATTGACTAGGACCTTCCCACCGAGTATAGCGGCCTGAGCCTAAAGCCTAACTAAAATACGGAAACACAAAGACGCGGATGATAGTTAGCCGCAAGGTAGCACGAAAATCGACTGGTGAGATAATTCTCCGAATAGTCCCTCCCCATGACTCAGACTACCTCATTCCGTGATACAAATGCGGAGAGATTCTCATGAATAGAGGCGTACGGATGCTACCAGCAACCCGGTCAGAAATCGCACGTAAGAGGTGCGGAAGATGTGAGCTGAAACCCATCAGATTGGCCTCAAATCTCCCTCAGACACTGCAGTGTCCTGTGTCCCTGTCGGCCGAAGCTGCCTCAGAAATCATCGTCAGAGCGGTAAATGCCCCAGATAACCCCATCCTGCCAGCTCATCAGGCTGTCGCACCAGAACTCGCCCTCTGCTCCAACGTGGTAGTTTCCGTCGGCATCTTGCAATGCGAACTCGGCGACGGCCTCGTCAATTCGGTCAATGATGTCGTCATTCCCGACTTTGAAGATGTCGAGGCCGTCGAAGCCCCAGACTCCAAAGACACAGGTGCCATACGTTGCAAGATTGCGGTGGCGGCTCGACATAGTCCTCCACTCACCGTCCTTTGCAATGTTACGTTGTAGATGATGGCAGTCCTCAACCAGTGCTGAGTCATGGGTCGTCGTGTTTTTCATCCATATGCTTCCTTGACACTTGATGACTTGGAAGTTCTGTTGCGTCGAAGTGGAGGAGGCAGTAGAGTTGTTAGACTGAGAGGCCGGGGCCGAGACTGCTGCCGGAACAGAAAGAACACTGGAAACAATGGCCAGGATAATCCCAGCAAACATGACAATATGCATCTCGAAATTCTAGGTCCTGTCTGTATGGGAGAGCCGAGTTAGTGTCCAACCCCCAGAACAGACGTCATACCGGTCGACATTGACGACTCCCCGAGAATGGAAGTCACCTACCTGCCTGGCTCTGACTGATCGGCTATCATGTCAAAGAGTGCATATGCAGGGCGCGGTACCCGTATTCCAGACAAAGAAAAGTCCAGAATGAAAGATAATCAGGGGGCTTGCAGGTTGCAGATGAGGCTGATGTTGTACAACAGGGCGACGAAGAGAGCAGAGGGAAAAGTCCGACGCAGACAGACGAGCAGACGCCTGTTTTATTTCGGTGAAGTCAACACCAGTCAATGTTCTCCCAGTAGTAAGGAAATAATCTTTTACTTTCACTTTGTTCATCTCTTGGCTTTCCTGCAGCGGATTCCACTTGGAATTGTCTTCATCCTTGGCGGTTAGGTGCAGTTGTTTGTTGAAGAGCAGGAGTGCCTGTCAGGAGAAGACTCCCGTCGTCATGGAGAAGGCGTAATGATTGCTAGTAAACTGTACTTAGTAGGCGGGCTGAGGACCTTGATAACTTCCTTTCCTGAAGCAATCATGCTGACCGGAAATGGAAGGGACACTTGACTGACACAGACACTTTGGAAGTTGTTTCCCTTGAGATCACGGAATGAGGCAGGTGGTAATACGGGAAGGCAACCGGTAGAACTGGAAGGAACGTGGAGAGGTGACATCCGGATGCTGTTCAGGTTGTTGTCGACTGTTCGAACCTGGGAAGGCCAGTCTTTCCTCATCTGCAGGCTCCCTTCAGTGCAGTGACGGTAAGTACGCCTCGCTTCCGTTGGTTGGTACCTTGCGAAGTGAGAATGCGGCTGGGAAAGTGCGTCGGGAGCGGCAATTGGTGGGGTTCATTTGTTGAAGTTGAGGAGAATGGGAAAGAAGGTAATTCTTGAAGGAAAGCTTAAACCCGTAGACCTCACTTTCGGCTTACTACTGCCCGGTAATTTGAATTTTTTCGACGTCTCCGAAACTCCGGCTGCCATCATCTTTTCACTTCTCTCCAGCTAAACACGACTTCCCATTTACACAGTCGTTAATCGCCCACTGAAACTTCCTGCCAGATAATGCACTCCAGCCAGCATGCATGCGACCGATGTGGCAATATTGGGCAGTCTGTGTCCTGCACTGGCGGTAGGATCTCACCTCTACCGGCGACATTGTTACTTTCCATTTCGCCGCCATCTCTCACCGTGGCCTGACCACCGGGACGGCACTTACACGAAGCGAACACAATCAATGGAAATAACAGACTCAACAACTGTGCGACATGCGTCTTTTGATGTTGTGTCGAATTGCCATTGCAAGCTTACTCGCACCGCAGCGATGCTGATGGAACCCATTGGCCACAGACAAGCTGTTGCTCCAATTGTCCCACCCACGTCCAACTCAGCTTCGCCTTCACCGTACCACACCAGATACAACTGAATCGTTTCTCAGCCAGAAAACCCATGGAAGCTGGCTTCAGTCCCAACACCCGACGCCTAGACCCAAAGGTCAACATCCCATGTGACAAATTGAAGCAAACTGGCTGGTCGTGACGAGAAGATCAGGTCTGTCAACGAGCAGCTCGTCACTGTTCTAATTTGGCGTGAGCTATTTGCATGTCGTGGTACCAAGGAAGGATGCTTCTTTGCCATGTGGTAACAAACACCTACCTACAGGCAACCGCTCTGTTTACTTTACTCCAGGGGGGGGCAGATGCCGTACCCCTGAATCTAACAACTGCTGTTGTGACAGGTTGGTCTTGGCGTAGCACCGCAGCTGCCACCATACCACCCCCAAGGAGGAACAACCTACCCCTGCATAATACTATTACTGTTATTGATCGAAATTGACCATGTGGCCTTAGGTTGCTTTTTGCAGACCTTGTCCCGTACTGGGCTTGGGGTGGGCAACTGAGGGGTTTAGTCTTCTTTGCCAATTGACCTTGGACGTCCAGCTTCTTCCAGGCTCCCAACAGTCGTACGAGCCACACAGGTAGATGACGCCGTCCACTGCCCAAAAGTATCACCACTGGAACTTCCACACTCTGACCACAAAAACCATGGCCCAAGAGAAGAAACTAATTGTGGTTGTTGGCGCCACGGGTAATCAAGGCGGCTCTGTCGCTCGCCGCTTCCTTCAAGACCCTCGATATGCAGTCCGCGGCCTAACCCGCAATACCTCGTCCCCAGCTTCCCAGGCCCTCGCGGCTCTGGGTGTGGAGATGGTGACCGCTGAGCTCGATGACCCAAAGACACTTGATGCCGCATTTGCAGGAGCAAACATCATCTTCAGCGTCACCCAGTACTGGGAGCCCTTCTTCCGTCCCGACAGCCGCGTCAAGGCACAGGAGCTGGGTATCACCTGCCGTCGTTACGCCTACGACGTCGAGTATCGGCAGGGAAAGAATATTGCTGATGCAGCGGCCAAGGTGGTGGACACATTGGAGGACAATGGCTTCCTGGTATCGACTCTGAGCCACGCCCGGAAGTGCAGTGGCGGGAAGTTCACGGACTTGTATCACTTTGACTCCAAGGCTGATATCTTCCCTGACTATGTGCGGGAGAATTACCCGGCTCTGGCAGCGAAGATGTCCTGCGTGCAAACGGGCTACTTCATGACCAGTCATGCCATCCTTCCGAATTCGTACTTTCAAAAGGTGTGTTGCCCCCTGTTTTTCGGTTGCTGCTTTGAGAACTCATCAGGTACGCAACAGCAAGCCGATGGCTCCTTTCACATGCGCTTGCCATGCTCGCCCAACACATTGATCCCCCATCTAGATGTCAATGGAGACATTGGAAACTTTGTGTATGCCGTTCACCAGATGCCTCCGGGCAAAAACTACATGGCCATGGGCTCCCACGCAACCTGGCCTGAGTACCTGCAGGCATGGGCAAAGGCAGTTGGACTCCCCGCGGAAAAGGCCGTGTATGTACAAGTGTCAGTCGATGACATGATAGCAGACACCACGGATAGAGATACGGGTGTTGAGGTGGCGATGATGTTTGCCTACTCTGATGATCCTGGGTATGGAGGTGGAATGGATTTGGTGACGGCGGAGGATATGAGGAAGGTGAGTGATTGCGAACGAGAAGTCTTGCTGGAGGAGTCCGTACTGACTGTTAGTTGTGAACAGGCGGGGATTGAGTGTCCCATGACCAGTTTGGAGGAATGGATGAAGAAGCAGGATTGGTCCGCTGTTTTGAGCAAGTGATAGGAGACGCTTCAGGCGGAGGGAAGCCCCAAGGTGAGATGAAGTATGATGTTAAACCGGTACCGAAAGATTGCACGTGGCCGGCGTCCCGAGAAGACGGAACAGACGGGACGACGGGACCCTGATCAACCCTCCCGTGGACCCTGAATTTGTGACAGTGGGATCCATGTTGCCAGGATCCCCGCCAGTGACGGTACGGACAGGAAACCACGACATGTCAAACCTGATTTTCTTCGTTCGAGCACTCCGTCGCGCTGAATGCCTCTTCCAGACAACTGACTCTGTCAGTCCATCACTGCTCAAACGCCAAAGGGGACGTCCTGAAGCACCCATCGCCTTGAGATCATTTGCTGCGCTGCATCGTCATATGCACTCAGACCGAATGCCTGCAGAATTGACATACTTGGTGATGATTCCCAGGCTCTTTCCCGCCCGCCGTCGCCTGGTCAGAGTCAGGTGCAGATGTCAACACCCGCGCGAGAAAGGTTCGGACGACCGCCAGCTGGTCATTGTGGATCACCACTTGCCCTTTCGACTTTCCTTGAAGGGGAAAAAAAGGCCTCCACCTTTTCAGGAATCCACACAGTCCAGCTCAAGCTGCTTTCGCCTTTTGCTTGTGTGGGCAACGAGCCTGTAAACCATCAGGTGTCGACATTGATGTAAGATATCGGGGAGTGGTTCTCCAAAAATTTTGACATATCAAATAGGGCACTTCCCCGTCGTTCTTTTTGTCAAAACTGGAACGGTCATCTCGACGGGCCACAGTGTAAACAGCTCGTCTTTGATGCCGCGTTCCTAACCGCACTGCAATTGCTCTTTCTGTTTGGCTGGTCCGTCAAGGATTTTGCTCGCACCGTGACGGCCAAAAACTGACATCTATCGATCTCTGCAGTGCTCTCTCCACCCACAACTTCACTCGAGTTCTGGAACTGAAACCTACCCACCTCGTCCTTTTTCTTCTTCTTCTTCTTTTTTTTTTTTTTTTCCCCTTTTTTTTTCCCCTTTGCCTGTGGAACTTCCTTGGTACCTTGCTTTACTTCTGTGCTAATTGCCTTGCTTCGTTTTAGCAGGTCTCCTTCCGTTGTGATACTAACACCAGCCCGCAACCAGTTTGCAGTTGTACTCTCGTCCAGCTACTCTCGACGCCCACCATCTTGAGCTTCCACTGCTCGCTCCGTCAATGCGAGCACGGTCTGCGCGCTCCTCGACCTCGCGGCATTGCGAGATTCTTCGAGTCTGTCTCTGAACCTAGCACAGACAACCTTTTTCAAGAGGAGGACACTGTCGTCAGACATGGTATCCTTTGTACAGCCTCCGGTCCTATACGGATTTGACCCGGAGATCCAGGAGGATCACCCCTTCGACAATGTCTGGTCGGCTGGATTTGTAGCCAAAATCTACACCAATGAGCAACACAACGAGGTCAGGCGATTCATGGTGGATTCGTCGGCCATGCAGGAGCTCAAGTATGCCAACAACGTCTTCGTGCTTTTCAGGGCCCTTCGCCGGTGTGGTGAATTCTGGGGTCAACCAGAGTTTTGGAACGCCATGGCTAGAGGTTATAGTACCAAACCCAGCTATGTCAGAGAACTGGTCTACATGCTTGTGGATGCTCGCAAAACTGCTCTCCAAAGGATGAGACGTGTTCATAACTCACCCACTACCCACGTTGTCGATGAGTTCATTGCCTGGCTCGACCAGTACGGGCCTCAGCTTACCAGCCAAAACGCCGGCAGATTGACGGATCCATTACTTTTTTCCACTGCAAGTGGTTTCTTTAACGACATGAGAGGAACTCTAATCAATTGCAACAATATCCCAACCTTCGTCATTGGGAAACCTCCGAGACGAGCACGTATCTTGGAGGCCCAACGGAGCGTGCCTCGTGCTTCTCCTCAAGTTCCCCTTGACTCCCAAAGGCAACCGAACCAAATTTCGCCGACTCGCTCAAGAACGCCCCCCACGATGCCCGTCAAGGCCGAACCGCGAGGTACGGGCTGGGAGTTCCTGTTGGAACCAAACAGGAAATCCGAGCAACAACCGGTACCGCCGCGCAAGCGCTCAGGCTCACCCTTCGCCCAAGACGACGTTCACCCGACCAAACGGCACCACAGCTCCGGGTGGTACCCAGAGCAACACTCAGCACCCCAACATTGGCATCCAGACAACAACAGGTCTCCCTTACGACAGTCAGATAAGGATGAGTACCATGGATGGCATCAATCTGGAGAACGTCTGCCACCACTAGGTCCGCGCTCTGAAGAGGCATTCCTGTTTCGGCCGCCTACCGCGCCCCGTGCTCAATCCCAGCTTGAGAGGCAGCATGGTCACGATCAGCAGAGATCTGATCAACAACGGCTCAAGCAGCAGCAAATGGAGAACCAGAAACTCAGGCAGCGGCAAGTCGAAGAGGAGAGGCTCAAGGCGCAGAAGATCAAGGAGCGTCGGCTTGAGCTACAAAAGCTCGAACAAGAAAAGCTCAGACTTGAAAGAGAGCTTCAAGAGCACCAAGAGTTGTTGGAGAAGCAGCGGCTCGAGCAGCAGAAGCTGGATCAACAGAAGCTTCAGGAGCAAGCGAGGGTCAAAGAATTCAAAAGTCTTGATGAACAACAGGGAGAACGAATCCGACTGCTTGACGAAAGGAGTCAAAAGCAGGCCCAAGAATATCGGAAGCAGGCCGAAGCGCAGAAACAAGCGGTAGAAGCTCGGAAGCGCTTCGAAGAACAGAAGCGACTTGAGGAGCAGAAGAAGCTCGAAGAGCAGAAGAAAATCGAGGAGCAGAAGAGACTTGCGGAAGAGCGCAAGAAAGCCGAAGCCCAGAAACGCTTCGAGGAGGAACGCAAACAAGCTGAAGCTCGCAAACAGGCCGAAGAAGCTCGGAGGCGACTTGAAGAACAAAAGCGACTCGAGGAACAGAAGAAGCTCGAAGAGCAGAAGAGACTTGAAGAGCAAAAGAAGCTCGAGGAGCAAAAGCAGCTCGAGGAGCAGAAGAGACTTGAGGAGCAAAAGAAGCTCGAGGAGCAGAAGAAACTCGAAGAGCAGAAGAGACTTGAGGAGCAAAAGAAGCTCGAGGAGCAAAAGCAGCTCGAGGAGCAGAAGAGACTTGAGGAGCAAAAGAAGCTCGAGGAGCAGAAGAAACTCGAAGAACAGAAGAGACTTGAGGAGCAAAAGAAGCTCGAGGAGCAGAAGAAACTCGAAGAGCAGAAGAGACTTGAGGAGCAAAAGCAGCTCGAGGAGCAGAAGAGACTTGAGGAAGAGCGCCAGCAAGCCCAAGCTCGGAAGCAGGCGGAAGCCCAAAAGAGATTTGAAGAGGAACGCAAACGGGCCGAAGCCGAGCAGGCCGAAGCCAAGAAAAAGGCCGAGGAAGCCCGGATGCGAATCGAGGAACAGAAGAGACTCGAAGAGCAGAAGGCACTTGAGGAAGAGCGCAAGAGAGCCGAAACTCAAAAACAGGTAGAAGCACAGAAACGCTTCGAGGAGGAACGCAAGCAAGCTGAAGAAGCTCGGAAGCGACTTGAAGAGGAACGTAAACAGGCCGAAATCAAGAAGCGTCGTGAGGAGGAACGCAAGGAGACCGAAGCCCAGCAGCGACTCGAGCAAAGGAGGCTCGACGAGGAGCGCAATCAAGTCGAAGCTCAGAAGCAAGCTGAGGAAGCTCGGAAGGGACTCGAAGAACAACGCAAACGCGAGGTGCACAAGCAGGTTGATGATCAGAGCAGAATGAAAGTTGGCGAGCAGGAGAGACGAGAGCAAAATTCTCAAAATGATCGCAAACTTGAGGAGATGCGCCACTCTAAGCGTACCGACGACAGCAAGAGCATCGCACATCTTTCAAGCTCGACCATAGCAACCGTTCAACCTTCGGCCGCTTCGCTCTACCTTTCCGGATCCAACCTGAGAATGCGGTTAGAAGAAGCCAATAAGAAGAGTCCGAAATTGCATCGGTACAGATCCCAGGCTAATCAAGCAAGGAGTCCTTACACTACAACTCGGGAGCATCTCTTACTGTGGAATGGGCGCTTGGTAGTGCCCGAGAGTACGCTGCAGATGAACATTATGTCTGACTGTCACCGCGGGCCCGACGGGATACACTACCCAAGAAAACGCACTAAGAAGGCGCTTTTTGCAAAGTTCTTCTGGCCCAGTAGGGGTGAGGACCTGGAACGCTTTCTCGCCAATTGCCCTGAATGCCGACTTCGCCCAGAGGTCCAAGATCAGCCGCACGAAAGGAAAGAGCAAAAGCCTGAGTTGAACGGCTCGGCCTCTACTACCCAGTCATTTGCTCCCAACAAGCAGGAGCAGCAGCGCGATAATAACACAGGCCCACCGGAGTGCAGTGGCACTCCGCTCAGCACAACCAACTCCCCTGCAGCTTGTCACCATTCCGACGCCGCTGTTCCGGCCCCATCTGTCTCAGAAAGGGCCGACATTCCCGGACTGCGACCTTCACCGCATCCGTCCGTCGTGTCTTCGGATGAAGAAGTTGCTGGGTGGAAAGAGATGGTTTCCACACTCGAGAAGAAACTGGCGGATACTGAAGGGCAGCTTAAGGCGGCTGCCGTGATTCGGCCGCTTGAACGAAGCATTAGCAAGTTCCAGTCGGATGTTAGCGGTCTCCATGGAGATATGAGCACCCTCTTCGACTCGTTCCAGGTTATGGTGGACAGAATGGCCTTCATACAGGACGACATCATGTGCATCAAGGAGAATTTCCAAAGCAAAGAGCGGCAACACAATGGCATTGCAGAGTTCTCCGTTTCCGTAGAGGATGTTAAGACGAGCGTCGCACTGGTGCTCAGCGAAATATCCGACCTCCGTCTGCAGCACCAGCAGCTGGAAAAGAGGGTAGCGGCAACACCTCTTAGGACTGCTCCGTCTAGGGACTCGGAAGCGCTGATGACTGCCCTGGCTGCCATCTCGCAAAAGGTGGACGCTTTGAACAATGAGGTGTCCGATCTGAGAAAGGAAGGCCAAGCGCAACGGGGAATTGCCTCTCCGCCTGCCACGAACGCAGGCGACCTCAAAGATATCATGGGTGTCGTAAAGACGATATCTGATAATGTCGACCAGCTCAAGAATGAAGTGATGGACTTGAAGGAGGAGCGTGCTCGGATGAATGACACAGCCGACTCATCAGCAAGCATCAGCGTTTCCGTCGACGCTGAGCTAATCAAAGCACTGTTCGGGGAACAGAAAGCTCTGATTCAGAGTCAGAGCCAAAAACTGGACAGAATGGCGAAGGAGATTTCGAGTTTACAAGCTCAGGTGTATGCTTCTGGTAGGACTCAGCCCCAACCGAAGAGCTTGAAGCAGGCCATGGCGGCTGCAGAAAAAGACTTGCAGCACCATCTCATTACGATGCAGAATTACCGGAACAAGATGGCCGAGCGAGGGAACCCTCCATCGACGGTCGTAGCGAACATGGCCGATATGTGTCAGACGTTGGAAGAGTGCATCCAGTATTCCAAGACCGGACAAAAGTAACGGGACCTGCATTACTCGGCGAAATCGAAATCACGATGCTGCGAGATGCCGTTGGCATTTTTTACTGGAGGAGTGAATGATCAGTACATATGCACGCTGGATTCTCACCGCCGGCAGCTGCCTTGAGCATTGATATGCGTACAAGCATCTCCATGAAATCGGCTGGGGCTGTCCGGACGGCTCTTTTTCACGGCCAAGACGAAGTACGGTGTGCAAGGAAACTGAACAACACGCATTTAATGTGCAGCTCCAGGTCTCCGTGCTATGCATGGTTACTCCCTACAAGTAGTACGGAGACGCTGGTCTATGGTCTGCCGACCATGTTAGGAACATGTTTAGAAGCTACCATGAAGTTACCATACCAGATCCTGAACGCCATGATCTTGGAAGACCGCAAGTCGCATGATAGAAGCATAAGTGGACCGGACAAGTGGTATATCACACCTAGTTACCAATAGACGACCTCATTGCTAAATCTTTTGCGCTGTACGGGCTAGGTGTAGTGGTGATGTTCGCTCAAGTCAGCCGGGCCGCCTACGAGACAGCAAATGCCAATGCCAGCCACTCGCGAATTTGTGCGCGCACACTCCTAAGTGAACTTGACTGCTCTGATGCCCTGAAACACGGTGATGGTTATGAAGTTCAATGCTACCTAGCTAGGGTTAACACATGGAACAAGACAACGGTTTGCTTACCTAATCGCGCACCAGACGCGAGACGCCAGACGGACAGAGACATCAGCAAAACTCAAGTGTTCACCTAAGAGTGATCTATATCTTTTTGGGCCTTTCCTCGACCGCCGGCCGGCCAGGGGAAAGTCAACGTCGAGACGAACGGGGATGGCTGCAATGACGTCATAAGGGTCGCCTGGGGTCTGGGCCAATGGGCAGTGTTTGAATGGAGCCCCAACTCTTTTCTCGCTACACTAGCCATTCTCACCAGTTGCCATTTCTGTTGGGAACAATCTCCCTTTGGTTTTCCTTTCTGGGACCATGAGTCGAATGATGTTTCCTTGATTTGAGATTGTCTAGCATGTATTTTTGTCAACGGTTTCATTCTTTGCCTATGCATGTGTGTCTCGAATTTTCAGGGTCCTGGCTGGATCGACGGCTCCCCACCAAAAAAAATAAAAAAAAGTCGTCGGAACTAGCAAGATGTTGTCTTGTGCCCAGGCATGAAGCCCTGAACGCGCTCGAGTAATAATATACCTATCCTTCAAGTGTCACAAAAGTTCACAGGGCAGAAACATCAAGGGGTTCAATCAACACCAACCGCTACGATGATAGACAACACCTTTCCGCGCCTCATCTTCATCCGCGTTTGCATCGTCCTCCTCCAATATGCCCCGCTCATCGAAACCTTCATTCTCCTTATCGCGGTTACTCTTCGATACCCTTCCTCTCCCCTGATCGCCTACGCAGAGCATATCGCCTCCTTCATCCCTCCTTCGCTCCTCGCCATCCTCACCTCCCCCACCACGATTCCCCTCCTCGCAGCCCTTCTTACAACAGAGCTCATCTACATCACGACCCTTTACCTCCCGCACAAATCCAGTCTCACACACGAAGCCGTACATCCCCCGTTACCCGGGCGAAAGGAGCGAGAAGAGCTGTTTGACAGGGCCTCAGACAGCACGACAGACTGGAATGAGTATCTGAAGCTATGGTTCCTCGGAGCGGAGGTTGATGAAGTGAAGAGGGAAAATGTTCGGGAGTTCTTACTCTGGGCTTTCTTTGACAGGGATGGGGAGACAAAAGGGAACAACGAAGATATTGAGGAAGAGCTGGACTCTTATCTGGCCAAGATCGAAACCCTTCTAGGCCGGAAACTCCCACCAGGCCGCGGTACTGCCACTTCTTTGCGGCTGACGTTCGATGCGATCGATACCCGGTACCGCAGCGTTGTTTGGTATGGGGTTATTGCGCTGCTGGATTTGATCACGCATTTCATGTTGGCGTGGCACGGGTATACGCATTATCGACCATCTCGATCCCTGTCACCAAAACCGGCGACATCAACAGCAGCCAAGAAGACACCCACAACAACCCTCTTTCCACCACGCCTCCAACACTCCATCCCCTTGATCCCCTCCAGTCTCCGACACCACACATCGCCCACCCAACACCTCAGCTACTACCTCCGTCCACACCGATCACGCACCCAAGCGCCCGTGGTGTTCATCCACGGTATCGGCATCGGCCTTTGGAGCTACACCACTCTTCTCAGCTCGCTCAAAACCTCGCACGGTCCAGTAGGGTCCGAAGAAGACGGGCAAATCGGCATCCTCGCCATTGAGCTCTTGCCAATTTCCTCCCGACTTACTGGTTCGGGTCCTGACCTTCCGGCCGTGCTCACCCACGGGGAATTTCTGAGGGAGTTGGAAGCCATCCTCGCCTTCCACAACAACCAAGATGACGGAGGATTTCCGCTAGATAAGGGCTTCACGCTCGTGACGCACTCGTACGGATCAACGCTGGTGGCGCCTATTTTGAGGTCCAGCACGCCTTTCCTATTCAACAACCCTGTACTACCCGGAAGTGGAGCGAAGGCTGCGAAGAAGGGCGCCGCAGCAACAGCAGCATCAGGAAAGAGTCTAGCGGCCCTGACGAACACACTCATCCTCACCGACCCTGTTTCTATCTGTCTTCATTTGCCCTCGGTAGCATACAACTTCACGCGCCGTGCGCCCAGGACAGCGAATGAGTGGCAGCTGTGGTACTTTGCTAGTACAGATTTGGGGATAGCGAGGGCGTTGGGGCGAGGGTTCTTCTGGAGGCAGAATATCCTGTGGAGGGAGGACTTGGAGGCGTTTCTGGAAGGGGACGCAAAGAAAAGGGTGGTGGTTTGTCTGGCGGGCAGGGATCTGATTGTTGATACCAAGAGTGTGAGGGGGTATTTGGGATGGGATGGATCTGGGGATCAGGGACAGGGACAGGGCATAGTGGATGAGGACGACGTTGAGTGGAAAGGGAGGGGGAAGGAACAGATGATGCGCAAGAAGATGGGGAATGGGATGGAGATCGTTTGGTATCCGCGGTTGGATCATGCGCAGATGTTTGAGAGTGGGGAGAGGCTGAGGCCGGTGTTGGATGTTATCGGGGGGTTGAAGTAGAGTCTTGATGGTCCTGGATACGAGGGAGAACCAAAACAAAAGGGTATATTAACGCTCATCCCACCGCACCGCACTCCTCGCTAGATATCATTCCCAAGCACAGAGACTCCCTTCCAAAAGGAAAAAAAATAAAAAGCATCAACTCAGGCCCTCGAAGGCGGATACTCAGCTTTTCCCCTCCCCCACCCCTTAAGGTGCACTTCCACCGGATGACTCCCACTGCGGATAATCACCCAATGCGCATCCTGTTCCGCCGACTCGTTCAAAGCCTGGTGTTCCGTCCAAGCCGGGACGGCAGCAAAATCACCCTGGCCAAGCTCATGCCGTTCCGGTTCGCCGCCTTCGTCTTTGGGCGCTGTCAGGAGCACGCCGCTGCCCGAGGCAACGTAGATGATGGCGTCTTGTTCGCCGTGGTGGCGGACGGTGGAGTAGGAGTTGGGGGAGAGGATGAGGACTTTTTATTTCATCAGTTAAAAATGGTCAACGTGAGTCGATTAGTACGTAGTAACGAACCCGTTGAGCAGACCTTGTCCAGTTTGTTGACCACGGCATCTCGGCTGTAAACGCGCACTCGATGACTCCCTTTACTTCCATCGGCCGTCGTCGTGGGGATGACGGGGGGTATTGGTGGGATTATATCGGATTTCCTAGTGACGGAAACGGAAGAGGGTAGGATCATGGGCAGGATGTCGTTGATGATGGGCAGGAGGGAGGCCATGATGGCTATGAAACCCATGTGAATGCGATAAGTAGGGTGATAGAGGAGGGAGGCTGGGCCGGGGGGGATGAGGGGGAGGTGGGGTCTAGTCTAGATTTTTTGTTATTCGAAATGGAGAAGCAGTAGGTAGGCGGGTTATGGTAGATGAATGGTTGGCGCTTAAGGCGGATCATGATGCATCGTGATCGGTGATACTCAGTAGAGGTAGAGGTAGAGGTGGTAGTGTATGCGCTGTGATGGAGTGAACCCCTCCATCCCCTTCCACTTTGCCTGGTGCATGTGATGGGCATCTTGCATTGCAATTGTTAGTACAGTAGCGCTGTAGGCAGCTATACTGGGAAGGGCAAAATAGCGCACTAACAAAAGACATGTCGCTGCTATCCCTGCTCGCCATGCGTCTGTGTCCCATTGATCGCCGCGAGATCGCCAACACAGAGGTGGGGTAAGCGGAGCGCCTAAGCACTAACAGAGAGACGCTAAAATACCATGGACGTCGTCACCATTTCCAAAAGCCGACAAAAATTCGTTTTCTATTCAGTTTCTTACACCACGACATCTCTGGACGTGTTCAACTATGGAGGGCAATCTTCCAAACCAGTCGTGGCCTTCGCCATGGCATCACATCCTGCCGTCACCTTCGCAGCAGGGGACGGACAACAACCTCAACGCCCCTGCTGCTACCTCTACCGCCGCCGCCAACGACAACCCCCATCACCGCCAGACGCCTAGGTCACACGCAGAACCGCTGGACCTGGACGCTTATACCCCCGAAAGCCAGTCCTTCTGCTCGGCTACTACAGAGGCCAATTCGGAGCGCATGGCAGAATACATGGCGTCGCAACAACGTCGGCATCCCTTCTCTCCCCTCCTCTCTATACTGGCTCGAGTCGATACTGACGAGAGGGACGTCGCAGATGAAGTCAATAATACCTCACCCGAACAAACAAGCCCCCTCGTCCATCTCCCTCCCGAACTCCTCGAAGGCATCTTTGACCACCTCTCTGCCATCGACCTGGTCGCTGTCTCGGCCACCTGCCGTCATCTGCGCACCATCGCCACGTCCGAGTTTCGCTGGCAAGGCCTCGTCCAGGAAAACGTGCCTGGCTACCGAGTAACCTCCTGCTACCCCTACACGTCGTTCCGCCAGCTCTACAAAGCCCACGACCCGCGCTGGTTCCTGCCCAAATACAAGATATGGTTTGCCGACGACAGCCTCTACGGCCGTCTGATCATCGCCCGCTTCGACCAGCGCCGCGGCTGCATCGAAGGCTACCAGCTCGTCGCCTCGGTGCCCAGCCACCTCTGGGACGACGATCTACTGGTTAACGACCACCCGATTCGCAAGCACGACTTCCGCGTGGGTCTACACCTGGATCATCCCGTCTTTCATCTCGATCCCGAAAACCAATCGCCCGAAAGCGACAACGCCACGGTCCGATCCTGGCAAGAACTCGATTCCGAACGCTACAAAGACGACCCTAGCCGACCCAAACCACACTTCAAAGTCGAAGTCCGCGCCCAAGGCGGCTCCTCCCTGTCGGCCGGCTCCCGCAGCCGTTCCTTCCACACCAACTTCTTCCTCGCCAAAGCCCAACGTCTGCACAATGTCATCCACGACGCCCAAGATCTCATGGACGCCCACGACGTCCGCGACCTGCTCCATGCTGACCTCAGCCGCTCCCTCTCTCCGCGGGACTACCTCATGCGAAGCGCCATTCCGGGCATTGGAGGCGGCGACGGCCTGCGCAACGCTGCGCCCCACCACGGCATGATGACCATTCTACGCGACAAATACTGGCCGCCGCCCACGATCGAGGCTCCTCATAGAGTGGCTAACGTTGGGCCGGTGGGTGTGCACGGGGGTTATAACGCCGAGGCCACGTCCAAGATTCTGCAGAGCCCGCCTGCCACCCGGGCGGAGATTAGCGACCATGCGTTCCACTTGAGGAGGTGGGTGGAGTTTGGAAGGGTGATGAGGGCGCATATTGGCGAAGAGCTGGTGACGTACTCGACGCTAGACGAGAAGTTGTATACACCCACGCCCGAGAAGCCATACAGGGGGATCTTTGTGGGACATTATGGGCCGCATGGGTGCGAGTTTATTTTGATGCATCAGCCTGATGATGATCCGAGCATACAAGATGCAGAGATAGAAAGGCGGGAGAATGAGACGGATGAGGAGTTTCAAAAGAGGAAGCTAGAGTCCAAGGTTTATAAGGGTGGGTTGGCGGGGATCAAGCTTACTGGCGACCCGAATGTGCCCAGGGGGGAGTATACCTTTGTCGCAAAGGACATTGGGGAGGAAGGGTTTGTCAAGGTTGCAGATGAAGAGGAGTTTCGAGGGGCAAGGGTAGTCAAGGCCAAGGGCCATGTGGCCGAACATAACTTTCGGGATGGTAAGTGCTTTTTTCTGAGTCCTTAGTATCACATCCATCTGCTGGAAGAGCAAGGGGGAGGGAGTGCTAACGACCAAACAGACGACTGGATAGACTGCGACCTCTTTTTGGCCTCCCACAATACGTTGGCCCTCCACTGGCACCGATGGGATATGACGAGCGTTTTTGAGAGGGTCGATATTGACAAGTTCATCGTTCCCGAGTGAGTATGTTTTGCGTAACTACGTACCTTGCTGCTAGCGATGATTTTGTTTTGCATTTCGAAGCCTGTTTTGTCTCGGTGTCACGGCACGGTAATGACTTACGAGGCAATGGTAGGTTGTTTGATGGGCCATGGTTCATGTTGTGAAGTTGAGGAATGTTCACATGAGGGTTGGTCATGATTATGAAGTGGGTTGCAGGGAAAAGCTACAGGACTGGCGACTTTGAATAAAGGATGTTTGTGGGACTACGACTGGATGACCTGGGTACACATTTGGACGGCGTTTGGGGGGGGGTCTTCCGGACCGCTGGGCAGTACTTTAGGAGTGTATATGGGTCATACGGGGTAAGAAAGACAAAGCCCAATACCTAGAACAACAGCAAAAAGCTACTACATACGGTGCTGTTGTCTGGTTCCCGCTGTGATGTTCATGTTGCCGCCGCCGACTTCCGTAGACGTCAACATTGGCTACTTACCGATAACCGCGCCCGCCGCGGCCCCTACTTTACCGTTCGTACCCCTGCTTTCCTTCCCAGTCGTCCCAGCGGTCATAGCGCCAAGACAAGCGCTGAACGAGGTCAGCGGATGCAACGCTACAGGACCCGCCCAATGGACCCCCCTGACGTCAAGCGATCCATCCCCTACGTTAACGGCAATTGACGGGTCAAGCAGGCACTTCTTCTTCTACATTTGTTCCAAACAAGCACCTTGTTGGCCACATGCAGCCAGTCATCCAGTCAGCCAGCCATGCTTCCCATTCCCATTACCCAACGCGATTCAGGTACAGGTACGATAGCTAGCTAGGGTAGGTCGGTACCATCTTGACCGACTATCACTTGACTGACTGGACCGGTTGTAGCACGCAGCACGCAGGTCGGCAGCATGTACGAGCTGCGTGTCTTGTCGAAAGTGGCTGGATTATCGGGGAACCCGTGACCACTTGTCGATTTGTTTGTTTGTTTGTTATCGTGCGTTATACCGACGACGGCGGTGTGTGGACGCGCTGGTAGGTAATGATAACGAGCAAAGGTAACAGGAAGGATTCTGGGAAAGTCTACAAGTCTGGACGAGGAGTGGTGATCCTGCCACTTATAGGTACAAGTACAACAAGTCCTCCCCTTCCAACTTGCTCTGGTTGTTCTACCTCCACCTAACCTGTGGGACTCCTTACCTTTTTCAAGTCTTGCCTTTCTTTTTTTCCATGGTTGGCGAATTCTGTCTCTTTCTTTTTCCTTCCTACCCCCATTCCTTTGCCAACAACTGAACCAGTCAATGCGTGTATCCTCATCGTTGCTGGCGCTTACATCCGGTTCTCGGTGAATAGCTGACGGGACAAAAGATACGGCACTCGGACGAAGACCGATGATATAATAGACGACGACATCGACATACATAACCAGCACAGACAGACAGCTGTACAGCTTGCAGGACCTCACACGCAATGGCTTCTGCACGGCCTGCCGCCCGCCTCGCAGGCGACCTTCTCCGACTTGCACCTCGCCGACCTACACCACTAGTACCTACACCACCAACGACAACCGTCTCGAACTCATGTCGCTCCTTTACGATACGCACCCGCTTTCTTCACGACCGTGCCTTTTCTGTTCCTACTACGCCGAACCCCAAAAAACTGCCGAAACATGATGCTCCTCGAGGTCCAAAGGATCGACAAACCCGAACCCCTCCCCGACAAGCGCGCGCCGCGCCCACAAGTCTGGCCGTAGGCGCTGGCGTTGCTGTCTTGGCTTCCTACCTCTACAACCGTGATCGCGAACATGACAACAAGAGCAAGACAAAAGTTAAGCTCAATAGCAACCAGACCGGTCGAGACAAGGATCCAGATAAAGAACCACTACCACCGCCCTCTCCAGAGGAAGAAAGTTCCCAACGACCCAACGAAATCACCGACGACCTCCGTGAACCCCTCTCTCGCCCCCGCTACCGCCTCTCCGAAATCCGATCCCAGCACTCCTCTACCTCCAACACTCCCTGGGTCACCTACGCCGACAAAGTCTACGACATCACATCCTGGGTCGGCGCGCACCCAGGCGGGGACGTGATTCTGCGGGCGGCCGGTGGTCCAATCGAGCCGTACTGGGACATCTTCACGATCCACAAGACCTCGCCCTACGTCCGCGACATTCTGGAACAATACTGCATTGGGTATATCCACGTGGATGATCTAGACCCCGTGACAAAAAGGCCAAAGATGGACAAAATAGAAGACCCGTTCGAAAAAGATCCCGAGAGGGATGAGCGGCTGGTGACGCATACGGCGAAGCCGAGGAACGCCGAGACTCCGTCCGACTTGGTGGGAGCAGACTTCAAGACGGATGAAAACGTGTTCTACGTGCGGCATCACATGTGGGTGCCTGTTGTGGATGATGCCCCAGAAGAGAAGCATGTCCTCAGCGTGGAGTTGCCGGACGGAGAGACACGGGGCTACACCCTCAAGGAGTTGAAGGAGAGGTTTCGGAGACACAAAGTCACAGCGACGCTGCAGTGCTCGGGCAACAGACGGAACGATATGACGCGCCACGCGGGCAAGACGAACGGGCTACAATGGGGCGTGGGCGCTATCAGTAATGCGGAGTGGGAAGGCGTCTTGTTGAGGGATGTGTTGAAGGATGCAGGGTTGAAGGTCGCCGATCCATCTACTGCTACTGCCGTTCCTGTCCAGCCATCTTCCTCCCCATCGTCCAACTCTGACGGCGGCGACGACATCCCTTCCCAAAAGGACCTTCATGTCCAGTTCTCCGCACTCGAAGCTTACGGCGCCTCCATCCCCTTGTCCAAAGCCCTCGATCCTACCGGTGATGTCCTCCTCGCCTTCGACATGAACGGGCGCGCTCTACCTCGCGATCACGGATTTCCTCTGAGGGCCATTGTTCCCGGTCATGTGGCTGCTCGCTCGGTCAAATGGTTAAACAAGATTGTTGTAAGCGACGAAGAGAGTCCAAGCCAGTGGCAACGAAGAGATTACAAAAGCTTTGGACCGAATGAGGGCGCGAACCCGGATTGGGAGCGGGCGAGGAGTATACAGGAGATGCCAGTCACGTCAGCAATCACGGGGGTTTGGGTAGGGAGTGATTGTTTGAAGGGCAAGTACCAGAGCGATGATAATAAGCAAAAAGAGACCACCGTCGATTTGGCCGGGGTGGATGGGCTGAAGGTTGGGTGCTCCAAGACTGCTACCACCACTACCACCCCATCCCCATCTCCCATTGAAACCAACCCCCAAATCCCCATCACCATGCAAGGCTACGCCTACTCAGGCGGCGGCCGCGCCATCGCCCGCGTGGACGTCTCCCTCGACAACGGACGGACATGGGATCAGGCAGAGCTGATTGACGATTGTAACAACCCTGCGACTCCCTGCTACGGCAACAAAACGTGGACGTGGAAGCGGTGGAAGTATTCCAGCCATCTACCCCCGGCTTCTTCTTCTTCTATCGTTCCCAATCCCAATACCACCACGACGAACGCCAGCGAGGAGGGTAGTATTAAGGATGATAAAAATCAAAACTGCACAACCTTGATAGTCAAAGCTATCGATGAAGCCTACAATACCCAACCCGAGTCTCACGCCGGGATATATAACGTGCGAGGTAATTTGGCTACGGCATGGCATCGCGTGAGGATTTGTCCGGAGTGTGTTACTTGTCCTGATGGAGAAGGAGGAAGAGGAGGAGGGAAGGGGGTCAAGTGGGTGACGGGGAAGGTGGTTGGGTGTGGGTTTGAGAAGGAGGTTGAGGAGGCAAGGGAGAGGAGGAAGGAGGGACAAGGGAAGGAGAAGGGTGAGCGGTAGGTCAGGGAAGTTTGGGAGGCAAGTGTGTGATAATTAATTGGAAATGGGATGGATGGGTAGTGTAATGAGGTGTTTGGGAGTGATGAAAGGGCATTTATTTGCTCGTGGACTGATTGATTACGGTTATGATTTTGCAAGGAAGGAAGCATGAAGGGCCCTGAGATCTGGAGCGGGCAAGCAAGGGTCCAACGAGGCTTGGCTGTTTTGGGTATACCGGAACTGACAGCGAGACTGGGTTATGGAGTTGAGGTAAACGTCATGGCATTGATCATAGAGTAGCATCTTTTTAACAAGTAATGTTTAAGTTCTCTCGTATGGTATGAGTATGGGTTGAGGATTTCAGCCTACCTAGGTAAACACGTTTATGAACTCGAATTGGAACACAGACAACCTGTTGACGACAAGAACTTCACAGGTCACGACTGGGCACTTATCAGAGTGTAGAAGGCTCAGTAAGGAAAGCAATAACGTAAACTGATATCTAAAACGAGAAAATAAACTAACGTACCAAGAGAAAGAGATGAGAGATAAATAGCTGATAAACCAACCCGTAAGAACGATACTTGAATCGACAAACGCCATCCATCCATCTCCAAACCAAAGACCAAATCCGTTTACCTACATCCTCACTCGCTCACGTTTACTCTCCAAAGACCTACTAAACTATAGAACCAGGATACTCCCGCGCCAACGCCTCCAAAGTCTCATCCGTTACTCTTCCCGGCGGTCCCGGCCGTTTCCTTTTCTCCTGCCTCTCCTCCTCGCTCACACTCTCCTCCTCCCTCACACTCTCCTCATTCACACTCTCCACCGCCTCCATCGACCCATGGATCTTCAACCTCCTCACCACTGCCCGCTCATTAGAGGTAGCCAACCTCTTCCTCTCCCTTTCTTCTTCTTCTTCTTCCTTCTCCTGCTGCCTCCTCCGCTTAAGCCGCTTAATGTACTCCAGCTCATCTAATTCTGCATCCATATCCGGCAAAAAGGGGTCGTTGTCGTTGTCGTCGTCCACGTTTTGTAATTTCCGCTGCTCATGTCGCGCCAGCCTGTAGTCTTCCATTTGTCTCTCCTGTCTTGCGAGTCTGGCTGCTTTGAGTTGGCCTTCTATGATGCGCTGGACTTCTTCTTCTACGTCCACTTTTTTGGGGGGCGGTAGGGTTCTTTTGACGCGTTTCTTGGGGTGGGCGTCGGAGCGGGAGCGGGAGCCGTAATGGGAATAAGGTTGGGGTTGAGGAGGGGGAGGGGGGGATGGGGATTGGGGTGGAGGGGATTGAGGGGGTTGAGGGGGTTGAGGAGGGGGTTGAGAGGGTTGGAGAGGGTCAGGAGACGTGCCTTTGCCGAAGAGGCGGGGGTTGGGAGAGAGAGAGACTTTGGGGCGAGTACGCCCATGAGCGCGGCCGCGGCCGCGAGAGCGAAGCTTAGATGGGGTGGAGTTGGTGTTGGTGTTGGACTCGTCGCCGCCGCCAGAGCCGAAACCGGAGGGAAGTTGCATCATTTTGGCGTTTAGACCTCTGCTCTGGGTGCCGGTAGAAGTGGGGGAGTCAGGCGCGTGGAGGACCTTGACTTTCATTGCTTTGAGGGCAGGCAACGGGTTAGTCGGGGGTCGTTCTTGATCGTCTGCTTCTTGGTCTTGGTCTTCTGGGGCGGTGGCGCTCACGGGGCTTTGTGCTTCTTCTTCCTCTCCCGCTTCTTCTTCTTCTCCTTCTTCACCACCCTCCTCCTCCTCTTCTTCCGACTCGTCGGCATCATCCACAGCGGCGGCTTGCTTGGCTTTGCCTCTGGTGGTTACACCACCACGCGCGGCAGCCTTCTTAGGAGCTGCCTTCTTCTTGCCCTTCTTGGGCTCTTCGTCAAAAGCTTCCTCATCCTCAGAGCTCGACGTCGTGGCGTCCGAGTTTGGTTCCCTGATGCCATGGATGGTCGGTAGAATCTTGGGCGGGGCCTGGAGAATGACTTTCTCAACGAAGGAGCCCTGTGCTGCCGCGGCTGCCTTGGCTGCGGCCTTTTGGGCTGCCGCTGTCAGGGCGAGGGTTTTGGCAGGCCTGGGCGGTTTGACCGTGGAGTTCTCGGTTGTTGGTGGTGGCGTAGGCTCCCTTTCCTCTTCTTCCTCTTCTTCCTCTTCTGACTCATCAACTACTTCATCACCGGGGAATGTTACAACCTCATGTGGCTGGGGCCAGAGTGAGATATCAAGTGGGTCGGCGGCTGTGGTTTGTTAGTTGGTGATTCTGACCCAAAAAATACGCAAGACGGAACAATGAGAAAATTGGGGAAGACATACCAACATCCGAGACATCAGACTCATCCGAATGGTCCTTCGGAGGTTTGTAACTAGGGTCCTCCGACTGGAACGGCGCCAGCTTCTTCTTGCCTCCCTTGCCCGTAGGCCTAAACGAAACCTTTGGCACTTTGACTTCCGGCTCTGCCACTGTCTTGGTTTTCTTGGCTGCCGATGGGCGCGGTACGCTTTCATCATCTGCATGCTTGTTATTAAATCTTGCTGCTGAGACCGACAGTATAAAAAGACTCTTACCAGACATGAACTCCGAAGAATGATCTGATGGATCCCAACTCCAAGTAGGTTTATAGGTAGGGTCGTCTGACGTGAAAGGGGCCCGCTTTCGTTTGCCTCCTGCACGCGCGGGTCTGTCAAACAAGATTGTTAGCTCAAGAACAATTTTCACACATCAAACAGTGATATAAAAAGAAAACACAAACTCACCGTTTGCCAGCCTTCTTCCCAGCCGGCTCATCCTCCGACGAAATCGACAAATCACTCATCTCCTCATCCTCATCATCCTCCTCCTCCTCCTCCTCAGGTTTCACCTCCTCCACCACATCCGCAAACCTCGCCTTCTTCGCAGCAGTCTTCGCAGCGGTAGTAGCCGGTCCCGGGCCGCCTTGTGTGACATTTGCAAACAGGCCAGCAGGAACGACAGTCCCCATCGTCAAATCCGTTGCCCCAGCAGGTCCAACCCTCTCCCCCTTCCTCGCCCTCAACGGCTGCCTCCCCCCGGTCGCCACCGACCTCCCCTGCCACTGCTTGAGTGGGATCACGCCCTGTGGCACATCCACACGCGCCGTCTTTGCGCCATTGGGAATCCCGTAGTAGTAAGCACGGCTGGATACAGGGTGAATGGGGCCAAACGTCGTCTTGTCGTCTTGCGGCTTCCTAACGCATGAATCAATGTGTCGCTGCGCCGCTACGCTGTCGACGACCTTGGTTCCGTCAGCGGAAGTAGTCATTTCCATCTCCAGCCCGCACCAGGGGCAGAAGCGGACGTTAAAGGAACTGCTGTTGTGGCCTTTGCCGCCGCAGTGGCCTCTGCAGAAATGCGCATGTTTCTCGCGGTCGGCGATTTCGAGCCTGCGCAGCTCGAGACCGCACTGCGCACAGAAATCGGGTTTGATGCCTGGCCCGCGAGCGACGTCGGGGTGCTTGTGCGCTTTGGCGGAGGACGGATCGTCGGTGTTGATGCGCTGGCCGCAGACGGTGCAGGACTTCCACGGGTGAATTTCGTGGTGGGCAGCGCCGGGGTAACAAACGAGGTCGTGGTGGAAGCGGTCGAGCTTTGCAGACAGGACCGAGTGGTCACGGCCGCAGCGGCAGCAGAAAAACCAGGACAGCTCGCGCTTAAACTGGAAGGGGTTGGGATGGTCGTCGTAGGAGGCGGCATTGACGGGGCGGCTGGTTTGAAGGGCGCCGAGGATGTCGGCGTGCTTGGAGGCGAAGTGCTGGAAACGCTGGGCGACGGTCCAGTGCTGGTAGAGAGGGTCGTGGCAGAAGTTGCACTTCTCGGCGGTGTGGGCGGCTTTGATGTGTCGCGCCATGAGGCCGCTGCCGAAGGGAAAGGCGGCGTCACAGCCCGGGAAGTGACACTTTTCCTCGCGTTCAAGCATGATGGTGCGCAGCTCGAAGTATTTTTGTTGAAGAAGGCGAACTTCCGAGGGCGTGAGGACGCCGTTGGCTAGACGCGGGGTGTTATCGAACTTGCAGTCTAGGAGCTGGTCGATGGGAGGGATGTGGACAGGAATGCCCTTGACAAAGTCCACGGTGAGCGGGTTGGCATAGCTGAACTCCCGGAGGAAGCGGCCCTTTTCGCTCGGGTTCATGGCATTGATGTCCAGTTTGCTGGAAGCACTGAAGACGCCCGTATGAGTGGGACGTGGAGGTGGCAGGTTGGAGGCGAAACCCATCGGATTTGGGTTATGTTGATTCACCGCTGTCTGTGGTGTCCGCGACTGCTGAGAAGCAGTAGTACCAGGGACAGGCCGAGGCTGATGGTCTGATGGCTGGATAGTCCTCAGTTCGCCATGACTCCAGGGCACTTGTTCAGCCCAGAGCTGGTAGTCACGACCAAAGCGAAGGATGTTCCCGTTGGGAAGATCATCCTTGTTATGGAGACTGCTGTAGAGAAGATTGGCGTCCGTCTTGTAGATATCGCGGTAACCAAAAGGCTGGGCGAAGATATCACCAAACACTGAACATGTTAGCAAACTGCTTTCAGAAGCAAACTCTGGAGAGTACTCACCATCAAACTGATCATCATAGACCTGCACAACCAGCTCCGGCCAAACAATCATATCCCGAATCTTGTACCACTCCAACTCCGTGGTAGTAGGCAGCACCACCAACATCGGCGCGCCGTCGAGCTCATTCTGCGTCAGTCTCACCCTTGAGCTCTCAGCATAGTAATCAACCGAGTACCTTCCGGAGATCCACAACTCCGCAATCAGCCTGCGGAACTCCGCGAGGCTCGTCTCCCTCGGATTCCAGTCCAACGACTGCTCAGTATCCTCATCGCAGACCAGGGCATGGTCCCAATACACCGGCTGCAGCGTGATAAACTGCGGGAACATATCCACGCCATTCCTAGCTGGCGGCACGCCCGGCTTCTCCTTTAGCCAGTTATACCACTGCTCAAGCAGTTCAGCAACACGCTGGACGCCCTGCTTGTCCAGTTTGCCGGTTGAGTCGACGGAGATGAGCACCTCCGACTGTTCCCGCGCATCGGCGAGGAACGACTCGCCGGGGAGGTGTACCTCGATGTGCTTGAGGTCCTGCACCTGTTCTAAGCCGAGACCGGACTCAAGCATGTTGCTAATCTTGGCGTAGACGCGCTTGGAGTCCTTGAACTCGGAGTGCAAGATTGCGCAGTCGTCGCTGTACACATACGAGACGCCGGGCACGAACAGGTGCCAACGGTCGATGTTGCCGCTAGGTGACTCGGAAGTCCACGCCCGCAGCACGATCGGTTGGTTACGCGAGTCCTTGTGGGCTTGCAAGATGGAAGTCCATTGGTTGAAGTTGAAGGTCAACCCGCCGTACGTGCCGTAGGCATTGTCGTTGCCGCCATTACGAGGGTCGGACGTAGTTTTGACGCCAATGTACACGTCGGGAACAAAAGGATGGCCGGGACGGTTGGGGATGCGGCCGGCGCACAAAACACGACAAGCTTGTGTCATCCAGGGAGCAAACTGGTTGGTGTGCACATCCGCCGCTGACGGATCTCCGACGATAGGCATGCGGAGGTAGGCGACGTCCGGACGGTTCATGTCCGGCATGCCGTCCCACTCAAGAACCAGCTTGGCGACGTTGTGCATGTTGGCCGGCTCCCATTGATAGGGCACGGGATCACCGGGACCAGCGACGAAGAGCACCTTTTGGTGCGCCAGGGGCGATCCGCTGGTGTCGTCGCCCAGCGAGCCAAGGTGTCCGACGACCCAGTTCCAGGCAATGTGGTCGTTGCTGTAGTCGCCAGGTCCTTTGCAGGCGACGTCGAGAGAGTTCCTGTCGTTTCGCAGGAAGGCCTCCTTTTGGGCTCGGGTCTTGTACTCCTTGTTCCTGTCGAACACGTAGAGCTTGTATGAGGCACCAGCTCGGACGCCAAAGCCCAAAAGACGATCGACGGCGTCAACAAAGGTGTTGAGCGTGTCGATACGGAACCAGACAATGCCCTGGTAACCGTAGAGTGGGATCCACAGATTCTCGAACCCGCCTCTCTCGCCTTCAAGTCGGCTTTTGAGGCCCTCCTTGTGGTGATCAGTCTGCGCAAAAGCAAAGAAAGCCTCGGTGGAGAGGCGGTGTTTGCCGCGGTCGATGTCTTTAAAGACGCCGCCGATGTCCTTGAGAGGACCTCCGCCGCGAAGAGAGACGAGGGCGTTTTCTGGGGATGGGACAAGATCCACGGGCTCATCAATATCCATTGAGTGCTCTTCATCCTCGTCGACTTCGTCCTCTTCATCCTCATCATCAAAATCACCACCGCCACGCAGGCCGATGCTAAAGTCGAACCTATCCGGCATATCTACACGCAACGCATCAGCGTTTATGTAGTCTCCCTCAGGATCGAGTTCCTTAAGTGTCGGCGGGAACTTAGGCAGAGCGTTGTACGTCTCCAAGACCGGATCCGGTTCTGTTTTTACATCAACCGTTAGCAGCACATTCAAACCGGTAGGTAGGCAGAGACGACTCACCTCGAACAGCATCTTTCTCAAAAACCCTCTTCCCATAACAATTCAAGAACTTGATCGGATCCTCTCTCGGCCTCCTAACAATATTCCCCATATCATCCTCTTCCTCATCATACCCCGGCCCACCCGTTTCGCTCTTACCTCCACCACTCATCTGCTGCTGCTGCTGCTGCTTCTTCTCCCACCACCTCCTCGTCTCGCTCTGTTCCCACCCCATCGGCGCAACCGGCAATCCAAAGTACAAACAAGTCAATTTGAACGCTAGATCGGCCTCCTTTGCCCACCCTTCGTTGTTATCCCTCTTTTTCTGCCAACCCTTCACCTCCCCCTTGACCAACCTCTTGTACCTCTCGCTGTTCTTCCCCTGCAACTCGGCCAACACGGGATTCTGCTCCCAATCAGCCGGCAGCAACAGGTCCCGATCCTCGGGACTGAACCGCGACTTGAGCAGCTCGTTCAGGGTAGAGGTGGGCGAGTCCAGGTGGGTGCGGATGGAATACAGATTAGTTTGAAAGGCGTCAGAGTGAGGAGTCACGGTGGGGTCGACTCGCCGATGGGAGGCGAGGCGGAGCTTGTTGTCGTGTTCCTCTTGCGCTTTGCGCTGGGCGAGAGCGGCTAGGCGTTGGTCACGCTTTTTGATGGCCAGTTCCGTGGGGGAGAGGGGAATGGCTGGGGTAGGGCGTTGGAAATTGAAGGAGGCGAGGTTGGAGGGATCGGTGCCGAAGAGGCGGGAGCCGTAAGGGTTTGTGATGGGAACGGACTTGGAGCTGTCCGCGGAGTCGATGGCTTTTTGGATGGTGGACTTGGTGGACTTTTCCAGGTTACCTGTTGAGTGAGCTCTGGGCTTGGTGACGCGGTTGGTGGGTTTGTTGGCGTTCTTCGGGCTCTTGCTGTTGCCTTTTTTCTTGTTGTTCTCGTTCTGGTCCTCTGTGTGGTTCCGAAAGAAGGGAAGTCCCCAAGGCATGATGGTTGTTCCCGCACTCGTTTGGGTTCGGACTAGGTCTTCTACAGGTGTTGTAGATGAGCCTAGTCAAACCGCACTAACAACTTTTGATGATTTGTTTACTTGTTGCTGTTGCTGTTGATCAACGATGAGAATTGTTTATGAACGGCGTACAGCTTAATTGACGAACGGAGGAAGAAAAGAAGAGAGAAAAAGGAAGAGAAGGACATTGAGGGGAAATGGTGATTGTAGGGGATAAACAACCATTTCAAGGCATTACATCGGACAAAGAGACAAACGAGGGCATTATTCTTCCCCTTCTTCCTTTGGCCCCCTTCGAAAACAAGTGAAGGCGTTTGCGTCTGCGTTTGTGGAAGTGGGTGGCCCATTGAAGGGTAAGCTGTACTGCTGGCAGTTTCTGTGGGTCATGCTTTAGCTAGAGGTAAACTTCTTTGTCTAAAGTCAAGGACGGGAACCTTCGAGGGAGAGCTGGAGTTGCTGCATGCGAACATTGGGAAACCTGGGAGACAAAGAAACAGGCCGGCAGCTCGAACCAAGCATTGACAACCAGGTGTGTTTTGTTTGCTCCGGAATGGGCAATTGACACTTGACCAATCCGTCGGCAAGGGGAGAGAACAAAGCCATCATTGTGTCGAGCTCTCGTTGCGACGGGAACGTCGTCGTCCTCACATCGGTCAGTGGACTGTGCCCGAAGGGGACAACTTGTCTGTCTCTCTTTCAGGCCCCGACCAGTTGCTAACTAGACCCCATGGCTTCATGGCAGCAGAAGTAAGAGTTTGAAAGAGAAAGGAACAGTAAGTCAAGGAATCAATAAGTCGCGAGTGTCGTGGGCTGACAATTGGATTCTCTCCAGCTTTGTCTGTGGTGTTGATGTTTGAGAGTGGAAATGTCGATACACGGATGAAGCTGCGAGGGAGAACAACACAGGTCTGTGCTTGGCGGCGGCAAACGGTACGCTAACCCTAACCCCTGGTCCAGCATCATCATCAACAAAGTGACAAAGAACATGGACACATCTCGACATCCAGCAATTCCACTGCCTCAAGTTAAAAGCGGAGAGTAAAAGGATAGCATTTCAAAGGATGAGTCTCAGTCGTTGTATGAATAGCTATATGAGCCCAAGCAAATACGTAGGAGTGAGTGGTAGACAGCGAGGGACGGACAACGTGTGAAGACATCAAGGGTATCTCGGGCAAGGCATGGATTCACAAGCTCTTCACGGGAATGGGAGCAGGTAATCGTGTCACTAATGCTCGAGGAATGGATATCCTACTCAAGTTACGGAAGATCAAACACCAAGCTGAGGAAACCGCCTTTTCCGCTATTTCAACCCTCGATTTGCTTCCATTTATACTGCATCATACCCATGTCATGCTTCCTTTGTATCTTCATTTTCCACTGGATCCCTTGCGCTCATGACTTTTCCGTCTTGCAAATGACTGGCACCCACAAGAGCCCAATTAACGTACAATAAAACTAGACGCCTGACAGCAAACGTGAAAGCTTGAATCACTCCCTCTTAAACCCTAGGACTCATTGCGGAATTTGGTCTCTAATCATCATCCGCATAGCCCGGTGCTCCTCCCGGCGTAGGGGCACCCAAGGCACCCGGTGTCGGCGCACTCACAGCATCACCGCCACTTCCCCAGCCACCCTGCCAGGCCCCAGGAGTGGGCGCGCTGACAGCAGCCGGCGTTGGGGCTGAATACGCACCAGGTGTAGGAGCGTTGAGTGCCGCGCCGGGAGTGGGCGCGCTTAGACCGCCACCAGGCGTGGGCGCATCGTAAGCTGAGGATGAGTTACCGCCGCCCGAAGCACCGGGCGTGTAGCCCCAGGCATCACCGCTAGCCCCAGGCGTAGGAGCAGAGGCACCGTAACCGGGCGTTTTGGAGCCCCAGCTGTCGGAGCCGGCCGACCAGGCTGGTGTTTTGGAGCCGTGGCCGAAGCTGTCGGGGGCGGGGGTGCGAGAACCCGAGTGCCACGCCGGAGTGCGGGATCCGATGCCACCGTAGGCGGTAGCGCCACCGTAAGGAGTGCGGCTGCCGTCGTAGGGGTTGACGGTACGGGAGCCGTCGTTCCACGCCGGTGTACGCGAGCCGCCAGCGTCGCGGTTCCAGGCAGGGGTACGGGCCGTGGCTAGTGACAATGTTAGCTTCATGCAAATGGTGATAAGAAAACATGACAACAGAAAACTTACACCGAGAAGAGCCCCACGCCGGTGTACGATCCGATCCGCCCGAAGCCATGGGGGTCCTGCTTCCAAACTCGCCGCCACCGCGTCCTCCTCCACCAAAGCCACCACGGCTGCCACCGCGCTGGTTGATGTCAATGGTCTTGCCAGTGACCTTGTCCTTGAAGCTCAAATCAGCCTTGGGAATGGTGATAATCTTTCCCCTAGAGTGCAGCTCCACACGAGCATGAGTGTCCGTTGTGTCCTTGACGATTCCGAGCAAGCCCTTGTAACCACCGCGTCTAATAACCACGGTTTGGTTAATGGCCCGATCAGGTCCGAAGGTTCGCGGAGCTGGCATTTGCTTGCCGCTAGCAGCGGGGTTGCGCTTCAGGGCTGGGTTCATCGCACTGAGATCTGGGCCCGCAGTAGCAGTGTTGCGACCACCCTTGGCCGCGACCGTGGTGACGCTGTTAGCCCGAGTGACGAAAACACCAGCATTCTCGTTGGTGGTTGTGGTGTGAAGGAAGATGTACGAGCGATGAATGTGAATGATCTTGCCCTGGCGTTGCTGGCCACCATATTCACGGACCACGTCGTCCAGCCTGATTTCGGAGCCGTTGCGGTCAGCAGCCACAGCAAACTTCCTCTTGGGGAGCTTGTTGGTGATTTGCGACGGCTGGACCTGTTTGGTATCGCCGTTCTGGTCGAGCACCACGACTGACTCGCGATCAACCTTAACGATGCAGCCGACAGTCGTAGCGTCCAACTGCACAAGATCCAAGAGGGAGTACTGTCCAAGAGAGCCTTGGCCACCAATGTCGGATGCCTCACGGAGGTCTTTGCTGAACACGGTGATCTCCGTGTTGGTCTGGTCTGTAAGGAGCGTGACTCTGTCGTCCACGATCTTGACAACCATACCAACTTCGTCACGGAACCGGCTGCCACCAATGACCTTGACGTGGTCACCAATCCTGAACCTCTTGCGCAGACCCTTGTTGGGGACGTCGATGGTCCGGCCAGCAAGATCACCCTCGGTAACCTGCAATGTGACAATGTCGCCTTGAACATTGGTGGCCTTGCCGATGACACCCTGCTGCTCGCCCTCATACACCTCGATAATATCACCAGGAACGTACGCAACACTCTTAGCGCTATCCTTGAGAGTAGCAGCAAGAGCCTTAAGATCGAGGTTCTCTGTACCGTCCTCGGCTCCACTGGCGAACTTGGTAACCTCCTCCAACGTAGGGTTGACATTCTTGACCTCGAGCTGCTGGATCTTGATGTCCTTCACCTGGAAACCGTTCTCGAAATCATCGCCGTTGTAGTTCCAGCTGTTGGTCTGCGGGTTCCCCTGGAGGTAACGGGGGTGTCTCTTGCGCGCCTCGGCTTCACTGAACAGACGCTGGGGAGGACGAGGGCCGGGCACACCAGGGCGCTTGCGCTTACCATCGGCCTGGAAGACGGGGTCATCCCTGACACCGTAGTCGAGTCTGGGAATGAAACGGACTCTGGCCTCGAGGCCGTTTTCTGTAACGTCGATAACCTGAGCAAGATCACCGGCGTGCTTGGCCGGCTTCTTGAGACGAACCCAAGCGCCAGGCTCCAGGTTAGGCGTCTTGATGACACGCAGGAGGTCGGGCATGTCCTTGATCTCGACAAGGTGCATGTTGCTCCTGGGATAAACGTTGAGAATGCCATCGAGAGCAACGAGAATATCGTTCTGTCTTTGAGCCTCAACGTAGATGTATCCCTTCATAACCGAGTTGATACCACCACGTTCGAAAGCAGCCGTGATGGGGACCTCGTTCTTGGTGCCCATTCGCTCTTCAATGCGACGCATAATCGAGAAGATGACCTCACGCTCCTTTCCTTCTTTACACCTGACGGCCCAAATGCTGGGGTCCTCGACACTGGGAAGAAGCAAGCGACGGGGCACAATGGCCATGTCTCCGTAACCTCGAGCCGGGGCGCGCTTGCCGTAGCGCTCACGCAGGATCTCTGCCTGTTTCTCAGCGTCGAGGCTGGCCTCCATCTCTCGGCGACGGTCGAGCTCGCGGTGTCTTCTATCATCGTTAAGGCGGCCGCTGTCGGCAATATCGTCAGGGTGGGCATTGTCGATGAAGTCCTCTATCTCTTCACCGTCGCCGACTTCGTCTTCTCCCTCGTCTTCGTCGTCAACTTCGGCTTCGATATCGAAGAAGGCAGCTCTACGGTCCTTGTTGCGGCGCTTGCGACGATTGCCCTGCAGACAAAAAGACAGCGGGTTAGCTAGGTCCCCGATGTGGCGACACGGGTAGGTTTGGCAGGTCATCTGCACCGGCACTTGTCTTGTGCTAGTTTGGCAAGCGTGGATGGGAGGGTGCCGCAGAATCGAAGTGTAAAGGGACATTGCTGTGATGCGAACTTACACCATGAACGTCATCCTCATCTTCCTCATCTTCCTCTTCCTCTTCATCCTCCTCTTCTTCCTCATCTATCTCCTCGTTCTCCTCTTCATCTTGCTCTTCATCCTCGTCATCGTCGTGGTGATCTCGACGCGATCGCTTGGCTGGGCGCGCGTCTTCCTCTTCGTCGTGTTCCTCTTCTTCCTCCTCTTCGTCTGGTACCGGGCTGCTAGCCTGCCTCACGGTCTTACCAGCGGGGCGGTGGTTGTGCGTGGTCTCTTCGTCGTTGTCGTTGTTCTCCTCGTCCGACATGTCGGCGGGGGCGGGGTTGAAGTTGTCATCGTCGGACTCGTCGTCGGCGCCGGCGAACTGCCAGCTGTTTGAGGCCATTCTGAATAATTATCTGGAAGAGAGCGGCGAGCGACAGGGGTGTCGTACAGTTGTACTACCAGCGGTCGCGCGTTGTGTCGAGGTGTGGGCGAGAAATGGGAAAGGAGAGAGGAAGGGAGAGATGGCCGTAGGTCGCGAGACGTGGGATTATATTTGTAGGTGAGAAATGGAAGATTGGCCGGCCTCGAGTTGATGGATGATGAGTGTGGGAAATGGACCGACTTTTGAGGCGTCGACTCGCTGTGAGTGTTCAGTTGCAGACTTGCAGCAGCACCGGGTCGTGAGGCGGAAAGAGAGCTGCACGGCCCACAACTGGATCCCCGGTGGACTTGGAAGCACGGACGGTCACACCTCCACCACCGCTGGACGGCAGGGGAGTGCTGCTGCCAAGCACTGGAATAAGCCGCTAGGCTATTCGCGGCCAAGGTCTCCGGCCGGCAAGACGGGAGGTTTTGCTCAGGTCATTCGACCAGGACCTTGCAGGCAGGTAGAGATACAGCATCCTCCATTCATTTGCGCACGTGGCTAAAGTACAAGTACAAGTACTTGGAGCTTGTATGCTATGTAGTGTACTGCGTAGAAGAGAGCGCTGCACCGTGATAACCTCCCTTTCGTTTGCCCTTGTCAACACTGTTACAAACCTTCAACGACTGTGAAGAAACACGTCTACTTGTAGTGTATCTCCTCATCCCATATCATGGAACACATCAATAAACCGCACCAAGCACGCCAGACTTTCCCCTTGACTATCAACCATGTCTAGTCCATTAATACCAAGTAAAAGTCAACTCCTGGCAGAGACAGACAGACAAAACTATCTAGATAATACAGCGCTCCTCCAGGAAAAACAATCACCTGACCACCTCCTTATCCTTTCTGGTAACCGTCTGAATGAAACTCTGGTACTGTTCATCTTCCGTGGTCTCCAGCATGATTCTAGCATTCCGCCTCGGTGGAAGCTCCCTAATCTCCGGCTTGGGTATCTGCTTGTTTGCCGTCGTCCACAACACTCCTCCCGTCCTTGCCGCCTTTGGCGCTTTCAGTTCCGCCGCCGCCGCTTCTTCTGCTCTTGATGGAGCATCCATCATCACCACCTCCTTGTCCTTGTCTTTCTCCTTCGCGTGTTGTCCCTTTCCAGACCCGGCTGCGGCGGCCCCGTCCTGCGCCTTACCTCCTTCTCCTTCGCCGTTCTCTGCCGTCTCAGTGGGCCTGGGCAGCCTCATGGCTAGTAGAACGTATTCGCTTCGTTGCATAGTATCCATGATATCGTCCATGTACCTCTTGACCTCCTCCTCCGGCGCCACTACTCTTGCCAAATTATCCAGCACATGTTTGCCACTGGGAGCCGCCGTGAACAACCTTATAGTTATGGGCTGGTAGTAATCAAGCTCCGGGTCCGCCATCGGATATACTGCTTTGCTTCCCCTCCTGATGATAAGGAATGACGCCACCACCTGCTGTTGTTGCTGCTGTTGTTGCTGTCCTTGGGTACTGCTAGCGTTGCTACTGGGAATAGTCTGATAATCCAGAATGCTGAACTTGGGAAAGAGGTACCGATCACCGTTTCCTCCTGCAAACTCGAATACGATGGCCGAATAATCAGGTTGTTTGGGCGGCGGCGGGGGGCCCTTTGAACGAAGTGCCTGTTGGGCAGATGACTTGTCGGCTTTCTCTCCTTTCTCCTTTGTGGCCTTTTCGGCCTTCTCCGTCGTCGTCTTCTTCTCCTCAGCAGCATTGGCCTGTGAGGTCGTTGCTGTACCGCAATCAGTCCCATTGCTCGCGCCGTTGGTTTGTTTCGAAGATCCCGCTGCCGAGACCGTTGATTGACGTCGTTGCTGTTGGTTCTTTTTAGTGGCAATGTTAGAATGCGCGAGGTCCAGAATCGCCTTAAGATCCGTGGCATCGGCGGGTTGAGGCTTGTTGTGGGCTATACGCCGGACCATTTCCTTCGTCTTTTCATCGTCCAGGGCTATCTTTACTAACGAGACCAGGAGAGCATCGCTGTCTTTGGGCGGCTGCAAAGTAGATGACTTTTGCTTGGGGTTGGATGCTAGAACAATGTCAAGTATTGCAGCTACCTCGTCCGCAAAGTACTGAACCGTTTTTCCATCGACAAACAACTTATCTGCAGCTGGTGGCGCCGGAATGTTGCTTTGCCGTTTGCTCTCTGACGTGATGGCGTCAATGATACCCTGGAATCGCTCGAGTTCCTGCTTGGAGGCCTCCCCCTGGGCCACCCGCTTCATGAGATCTCGGAGTTGAGGGTCTTCGCCAGCCTTCTCGGCTAGCATGAGAATGATTGGATCTGCCCCCGCAGCTGGCTTGGCTGGTGCGGCGCCATTGGCAGTGGTTCTTGGCGTGGCAGGAGCTGCTGGAGCTGCTGGAGCCCCTGTTGCTGGTCTTGGGGGGACACCCGATGGTATTGAGGGGGTGGCCGGAGTCGCAGCACTTGGTGGAACGGTTGGTGGGACGGGCACTGGTCGGGGTGGTTGCGCATCAGCAACTGGTGCTGTGGTTGGGGCCCGCGGAGCCGCCAAGGACGGAGATGGTGAAAGAAGTGATTCGATGCCTCTAGGCGTTCCAGCGGGCTTCGCGAGCGTGGATGGGGCCGCAGCAGCTGGACTAGGAGCACTTTGCGCGGATGGTTGTTTGGTCGGCTGTGTCTGTGACGTCGGGTGTACTGCTAGCTTTCCTGGTGTTTGAGGCTTGGCCTCCGCTTGTTGTGTTGTCTGAGAGGTGACCTTTGGATCCGCCTCTGTTGTGATCGGTTTCTTGGCGTCTGATGCAGCTGGCGTAGGTGTTGACGAGGTTGAGGCCACCACTGACTTGGGCTTGGGTGTAGGAGGAGGCGGCATGACCCCATTCGGAGGTCCGTATTCGAGGATCGGTCGCTTCTCGGTTGGTGGTTTTGGCGGAGGAGGGTTGGGATCCTTGACCGCGAACATTGTCGCCTCGAAGACATGTGGCTCAACCGTGATTGTCACCTGGCCCAGCTTAACCATGCTGTCCTTGGGAGGATTGTTGGGTTCCTCGATGACGGCACCCCTCTTCTTTATCGGCTTCGTCCAGTACTTTTCGAATATTTGCTCGGTCATCCATTGGTTACGCGATCGGACAAAGGACTCGTGGAGGACGCCGCTGCGAAGTGGTCATGTTAGATTCAGCCAAAGCGCATGAACGCGCGGGGGTTTGAAGAGGGCTGCACACCTTTCTTGCAGAGTCTGATAGTCCTTGGTCGAAAGATGTTCCGGCTGCGGTTCCTCGACGGTAGGAAGCGGCTTCCCTGCTGTGACGGAGCTGGGCAATGTCTGCTTGGGCGGCTCCTCCACAGCGGGCTCGGGCTCGGGCTCCTTTTGGGGCGCGGGCGCTGGAGTGGAAGACTTTCTCGAGGTCGGAGGCGTGTCGGTTTGTCTTCGCTTGGCGGCCTGCTCAGACCTCGCCGCGGCGCGAGGAGGCAGCTTGCGCTTCTTTTCCGTAGTCATGGCTTCACGCACGCGACCCGACCCGGTACGGTACGGTACGGTACGTTTCTCGTCGTGATGTGGAAGTGAGAGTGGTGCACTATGCAATCGGCATCGGGACCTGAACAATTGCGAATGTCGAGGGAAGCTGATTATTGGATGTGGTATCAAGGGCGTAAAATGACGTGTGTCTTGGGGGGCAGAGGGGGGTATCAATCGCGAAGGAGAAAAATGGGATTATGAACAAAAAGAGATAGGTGCCAAATGGGAAGTGTCGGTTGAATAAGAAGCAAAAAAGGAGGGAACGTGTCCGGCGTGACGGGGGTGGGTGTCCAAATATGCCCGGAGATGACGACGATCGCGGCTGCGTGTGTGGACGTGTGGGTGGTGGTGGACGAGTGAGCGTGTTGCGACTCGTAGTGAGAGTTCGTTGTGAAGGTGAAGGATGTGGCGTAGTGTATGTACAGTGAAGACTGGAGATGGACAAGACGGAAGTGGAAGAAATAATAGGATGGGGCTTCATGTGCCTGTGACGGGAAGGGAATGAGCACGCACTCCCTTCCCCCTCTCCGCCTAGTGTAGGTAAATGGTCCGAATGGCCGGCCTGTCCTCCGCTCTACACTACACTACCATCGGCCTACCGTCCTCTATTCTAGAGGTACCTACGTACACTAGCAAACGGGAGACTGCGCGGACACTGATCCTGGATACCTCTAGGGTAATAAAAGGAAAGCGGCCCTGTGATTGGTTCGGGGTCGAATGAGGTCCCCTCCAAGTTTATTTACCCTTGGTCGTCCAGCTTTCCTTCGTCGGGCAGGTGCACCTCGTGTCTCCGCCATCTCTGATTTAAATTTGAGGAAAAGACATAAACACCGGTCCAAGCTTCAATATGTGTGACAATATCATCTCGTCATTGACATTCAGAGAAAAACGCGTGTTGCGCATGCTCATGCGACAGAACATGAGATGAGTGGAAAGCCACTATTGGCGGCAAGGTTTGATAGACGCTGATAGTGAGTAAGCCCAACACGGGAATTGCGGCTGACTGTGCAATGGGTGGGACGGCGATTAAGCCTCAAGCGCCCTGGACCCAGTGTATTATGCTCCTTAGCAACTCGACGGCAGGATTGGGTGAGAGCTACACGGATAACCCTAGCCTCGGTGATCCTGCTTCTAACTGGGCCCAACCCGAGTCCCGCTTTGCCATCCAACGTCAGCTCTTCTTCTGGCGAATCTTGGAACCAACATTCCATTCCAACTTTGCAACCAACAAGGCAACAAATCTTTACAAAGCGGCTTGGGTTCATAGTCTCTCGCTCTTTACAATGGATTAAAAGCGTTCTGATCTTACAAATCCATAATAACAACAAAACACACACATAATACACCCAACAACAATTACATTCTATTCCCTTTCGTTCACATGTATGACAAGGGATCATGACGTCTTCGGCGGCCTACCTCGTTCCGGCCCTCGCCGTCGGTGTTCCCGTCGGTATATACGCTCTTTTTCTCGGTCTTGTTTCGATTCCGTGTATTCAACGATTGTAAGAAAATCATTTCCGTAGAAAAATACTACCAGAACCATCATCGCATAAATCAGAAACGTAAACATAATGTGCTAACCAAACCATCCTCCATCTTTCTTCGGTAAGTGCCGTATATTCACACAAAATTAACACCCTCTGGTGGCCGCCACATAACCCCAACCGTCCCGAACGATGGGGATTTGCAAGTCAGTACCATAGTCTCTAATCACCAACACCAAGCAGAGATGGTTGTGTGACTAGGTAACACAAGTAGAACTAATCAAACACCCGAAAAAAGAAAACCAAGTAACCCCCTTCCCCCTTCACACCCTCGACTCCCAAACCCTTTACGCATGGCACATCCTCCCCCTGGGCCTCTACGCCCGTCACGAATCCGCCCTAGCCGCCCAAGAACGCTCTTCCAACGACGGGTTTGTGCCAGACATCACCACCACCCTCAACTTCAAACTCCTGCGCGACGACCCCGAAGCGAGACTGGTGCTCTACTTCCACGGCAACGCAGGCCACATCACGCAATCCATCCGCCCGCGCTCCTTCCACGCTCTCACCTCGGTCTCGTCCAAGATCCATGTCCTGGCCATCGACTACCGCGGCTTCGGCCTCAGCACGGGCTCACCGACGGAGCAAGGGCTGATTCTGGATGCCAGAGCGGTGGTCGACTGGGCTACCAAGGTTGCGCGGATCCCGCCTGAGAGGATTGTGTTGTTGGGTCATAGTCTAGGGACGGCGGTGGCGGCTGCTACTGCTGCCGAGTATTGTTGTACTCCTGAGGCTAAGGCTGGCTGTTGCTCTTCGGATGATGGAACTGAACCCAACAGAGACGATAATCACGAGACTCAGGCAAGGAGAGAAGAAGAACCGAGGGACTTCGCCGGAATCATCCTCGTAGCCGCCTTCTCTTCCCTCCCCACTATGCTCTCCGGCTACGCCATCGCCGGCTGGATCCCCGTCCTTCGCCCGCTTTCCTTCTGGCCATGGCTACTCGACAAAGTTATTTCCCGTATCGTGGACAAGTGGCAAAGCGCCGAGCGACTTACCAGCCTGACGAAGTCTGCTAAGACGGATGGGCGGAGGCTGAATCTGACGCTTCTTCACGCCAGAGACGACTGGGATATTCCATGCCACGAAGATGATAAGCTTTTCAAAGGCGCGGTGAGGGGATTGGTGGAGGCGGAGCTGGGGATTAGGACTGAGTATGGGACGGGTGAGCAGGAGGTTGAGCACGATGATGAGCGTGAGAGGATTAGGAGGGAGGAGGAGAGGGAGGTGGAAAGTTGTGTGGAGAACTTATTGGAGAAGGAGAAGGGGAAGAGGACGGTGGAGAGATGGATGGGAGATGTGAGAAAGGAGAATGAGAGGGCGTTTGTGACGACATGGGAGGATGGGGAGGTATGCATTAGGCAGGAGTTATGGCCTTATGGTGGTAAGTTGAGCTTGGGTCAGATCGCGGTTGTGAAGAGAGAGCTAATCAGGTGATAATGCAGGACATAATAATCTCATGTACTACGCGCCGGTGCCAATGGCTGTTATAAGGGCATTTGGGCTTGCTGACCAGCCTGAGTAGCCGGGATTGATGGGGCAGTGGTAGCTCATAAGGAGGCGTTCACGAATAGATTTTCATTTTACAAGATACACACGGCTTGAAACTGTGAATACCACCGGACGGCATGTACTGAAGGGGCTGAACATGTTGCATGAAAGAGGCATCATCACGAAGAGACACAGGCACAGTAATGGTTAATGTATGATAGTGAACTTGTCGCCAAAGCCAAACGAAGATGGGGAAATAATAGCCACAAAAAAGGATATATTAATGATCAAGCGCCCCCAGAACCCCCACCGTTCCCTCCTCAAGGGTTTATCGCCGGTCGCCGTATCGTAGGGAAAGGGGGCTATGGACAGCCCGACCAAGGCCGGGCACCCTCTTTTGTCGTATTCGTAGAAGCAAAATACCGTTGTCAGGAATCAACGACACCTCAGAATTCATCATAACCCCAACCCAGCGAGCGGTTCACCGCATTCATGGCATTAACACCCGCCCTGACGAAGCTCGCCACTCCGTCCACTACAGGATGGCCAAAAGTCTCCTGCTGGCCCTCCTGGCTGTTCAGCAAGTCCTGCTGATCGAGGGTACACTGCCTCTTCTCCATGACCGCACGATGGATAGCCCGTCCCCACATGTTATACCACTGGTCCTCGCTGATGCTAGTATACTTCCTCTGTCCATCCGCGCCCATGACCGAAAAGTGCCAGTCCGCAAACACGGTCTCGAACCTCTTGGTCCGGAAAAACAAATACGGCCACGTAAAGATGAACATGAGGCTGAATATGCACAGCCAGATGATCCACCGCGTCGTCCGCCACCGATTCGTCTCGCAATCGTTGTACACATGCACATACTCGTCCTTCTTGGGGAAACTGATCTCCAGACTGCCGCGGTAGTTGGTGGCGCGCACCAGGTCCGTCAGCTTCTGCACAATCTTCTTGTCGTCGAACCCGACCACGCGCCGCTGCAGCGTCAGACATTTCAGTCCGGCGTGGCTGGCACAGTAGCGGTGGCACCACTCAGCCAGCGTCGGCCTTTCGGCTAAGCCGACCTCGATATGGCGATTAGCCCCCGGCGCACGCTTGCGGAGGACGGTGCCGCGCCGAACTTTCTCGTCGTTATCGGCGGTGCGCAGCTGCATGAGAGAGGTTTGCGAGACAGGGTCCGAGTAGAGGTAGGGGGTGAGCTCAATGTGCAGGTCAAAGTCCGTAACTTGCTCCGAGTCGTTCTTACGACGCCCGTTTTGAGGGTCAGTTATGTCCCTGCGGCGCTTGTGTGTGCCGTGGATGCGGACAAAAGGCCGGGGTGGCTGTTTGGACCATAGCTCGATGTGCTTTTGGAGGAACTTGGGATCGTGGTCCAGGCGCGAGTCGAGGTACAGTTCGGTGCCGGTGGGCTCGTCTCTTTTGTAGTGGTTCACCCAGTCTCCGGGAGGAAGTATGTTGTGTGGGTGGTTGATATAGGGTGGTGCGCCAGAAGGGAGAAGAGGAGCACTACTACTGCTTCCCGAGGCGTTGATTTCGTCGTAGAGGGGCGGGAGGTCGTCAATGTCCAGCTCTGGGGCATCGGTATCTAGAGTGCCATCAAGTGGAACGGAGTGTGAGTGTTCGCCGGGTTGAGTGCGCATGGAGACGGCATCATCGCTGACGCCGAGACGAGGTGAGGGTTTCCCCATGATAACAATCTTGAGGATTAGGGTTTTCTGATGAAATAATGTGTAGATAATATAGATGTCAACTGTTATATGATCATCAGTAGGAACGAGAAATAGAAGGATAGAGTTGAAGGAAGGTGAAGTGAATTGGGCGACGGTTGGTGATCATAAAATATTCAAGTGATGAACGAGAAAAGATGAGTGGTCAGCTTCTTTGACAGCGAAGGCAGCAGTGAGTGGCGCAGCAACACCGGAAATCAGCCCAAGCCAATCTTGACATCGACTTTGAGTTCAGATTTTAGCTGCAAATGTGTTAGTTCGAAGCATTTTCTCGGGCCTTTCCCTGGTTTTATTGTTGTGTCTATAATGACCCCAAAGGGAATGTTACGAAAATCGAAGTGAGAACAACTTGAATAATTATGTAGAGGTATGGTAGATATTTTCTTATAATACACACAGCACAATGTCGTACATAACGTGGGTAGAGATATGAAATGCCCGACCGATATGTACCTAGAAGCCGTTGAAGGCTCCACTTTTCCCTCTCGGTGCGTACCGAGCTGTCCCCTGCACCTGACAGCGTGGGCTGCCTTGGAGGACCCCGCGACAGGTCAATTGGGCCCCGCTTGCCCCGCTGACCCTGCCTTCTGTGAGACGATGGAAAATGCGCTAACTGGGCCACGACACGCCAACACGCCAGTAAGGAGCAACCTCCGACCCCCGAGCGGGACAGGAGCTCAGGGTGGGATTGGAGCTGTTTTGGAGTCCTGTATCCATCGTCAACACCCAAGAATCTCTCTCCTTCCCCACGTCTCCCACCCGAGTTCTTCGATCCGTCCTCAGCCTTTTCATCTCTCAACTCTCCCCCTGGACGTGAGGGCAGCTTCAAAAGTCCCACACGACTCTACTAGTACGATTTTACTACGACGACCACCACCCCAAGCTTGACAGCACCCCACCTACCCTCTCCTAGTGCGCATCCATCACATTCGTCAGGAACAATGCCGCCGACCCAAGAGTCCAAGCCTGTTGACCCGGCCCAGGAGAAGCAGGCCGCCGAGGCTCTTGCTTCCCTCAAGGAAGCTCAGCAGCCCGCCGCCGACGAGTCCGGCTCCGAAGATGAGGGCGCCGACGGCACCGCCCAGGAGGCTGGATCCGGCTCCACAAAGAAGAAGAACAAGAAGAAGAGCAAGAAGAAGAACAAGGACAAGTCCGCCTCTACCGAATCTTCTGCTGAGGTGGGCTTGACGGAGGCGCTGGCGCAGGCAGACCCCAATTCCGCACTCAGCGGCTTGACCCCCAAGCAGATTCAAGAGTTCATCGACCTGAACCCCGCCCTTGCCAACGAGCTGCTGGCGGCGTCTGGGAGCTCGGGAACAATCGACGTGATGGAAGCCTTCAAGAAACTCAAGATTCAGGACATCATCACCGGTCTTGCGAGCAGTGGAAAGAACCGTAAGGACATGGCATCATACAAGTTCTGGGCCACCCAGCCCGTGCCCCAGTTCGACGAGAAACCAGCCATCTTTGAGGAAGGACCCCTCAAGATCCAAAAAGTCGAAGACATTCCCGATGAGCCAATCCCACTCAACCTGGCGCCCTTCCGATGGGTCACCATGGACCTCACAGACGAAAAGCAAATGCAGGAGGTCGAGAAGCTCTTGTACGGTCACTTTGTGGAGGACGACGAGGCCATGTTCCGTTTCAAGTACTCGACCTCTATTCTCAAGTGGTAAGTGACACTTGGCGAGGGTTATTTCAGTCGCGTCCATGTGGCTTGTGCTAATGACGTTGCGCTAGGTCGCTCATGTCTCCTGGCTGGAGAAAGGAATGGCACGTCGGTATCCGTAGCGGTGACACTCTTTGCGCTTTCATCGCTGCCGTTCCTACCGAGATCCGCGTTCGCGACAAGGTTATCCAGGGCTCCGAGGTCAACTTCCTCTGCATCCACAAGAAGCTTAGAGGCAAGCGCTTGGCTCCCGTCCTCATCAAGGAAATCACTCGTCGCATCAACCGTGAGGGTATCTGGCAAGCCATCTACACCGGTGGCATCGTCTTGCCCAGGCCCGTCAGCACTTGCCGCTACTACCATCGTGCGCTCAACTGGCAGAAGCTGTACGAGGTTGGTTTCAGCCCGTGCCCTTCAAACAGCAAGCCGGCCTTCCAAGTCCGCAAGTACGCCCTTCCGGAACAGACCTCGACCAAGGGACTTCGCGAACTTCAGGTCAAGGATCTCGACGCGGTACACAGCCTGCTTGAGCGCTACCTGAAGCGTTTCGACCTCACCCCAGTATTCAACCGGGAGGAAACGGAACACTGGCTCCTCCATAAGAAGGATTCTTATGCCGAGCAGGTCATCTACTCGTATGTTGTTGAAGTAAGTTTCCAGTTACGATCCGCTTTCCTGGCAGTTGAACTCGTACGCTAATCTGATGTAGGATGCCTCGGGCAAAATCACCGACTTCTTCTCCTTCTACCTTCTCGAGTCGACAGTCATCAGGCACCCGAAGCACAATTCGATCCGCGCTGCTTACATGTTCTACTATGCCACCGAGACTGCTTTCGCCGAGCCCTTCGACAAGGGGGCTCTCCAGAAGCGCCTGAACGATCTGATGGCGGATGCTCTGATCCTCGCCAAGCGCCACAACTTTGATGTCTTCAACGCTCTTTCTCTCATGGACAATGCGCTCTTTTTGGAGAAGCAGAAGTTCGGACCAGGCGATGGCCAGCTTCACTACTACCTGTTCAACTACAAGGCAAACCCCATCCACGGTGGTGTCGATAAGAAGAACAGGCTGGATGAGGATAACTTGAGCGGTGTCGGGTTTGTCATGGTCTAAGAGGGTTTTGGGTTAGGGTGTTGTTGACTGCTTTCAGGGTGGCTGATTCTACTGTGTTTGAACAAGAGTTGCCTGCATACAAACAATACCCGATGGATACCAGCGGGGTTAGCATCAAAAGCAATTGTAATAGTATTGATATTCAGCCAGCCTGGCGCTGCCAGACGATGAAGGTCTACATTGTTGGACTCGGACCGTGCCTTCTTGACCCGGGATTAGTTCGCCACAGATCAAAAGGAGGAAGAGGGGGAACCTTCACCAACGACTTCCCCGGTTTGCCTTGAACCCCAACATGTTTGCGATGCGAGTCATCATCCGGGGATTGCGCCAACGCTTTCGCTGAATGATCCCACGACAGGGGCATCTCCGTAGTTAGAGGCGGACCGACAAGCCTGTCAATCTGTCCCACTTTCTATACGATCTACCAATCGGAGCGTTTCGACGTCGAGGTACGTCACTGCCATGGGGACCAACACAATCACATGTGGACGCCGGCCGACAAGGTGCTCCCAATTCAACCGAGCCGCCACCACGAACACCGAGCCATCTACCACCTATACCCGTTATTTGGCCCTGAAAGTGTGCTTTGGCCTCAATCCCGTCTCATCTCAACAATCATCTAGAGCCCGCCAGTTCATATCTCTTCTCATCACGCGCAAAATACCCCAACATGCAAGTGTTAAGATGCTTACCTACATACTATGCACTCACTAACACTTTTTCTCTTAGGGCGCCAACAACAACGCGCAAGCCTCCAGTGCCCACCGTAGCCGAGACC